CCTGAAAGAAAATGATATGCAACCGAAGCTCATATACCCGTCAAAACTTTCTCTCAAAATTAATGGAGAAATAAGATATTTTCAAGACAAGGAGGAACTGTGGGAGTTCATGGCCACCAATCCAACCCTACAGAGAGTGCTGAAGGACATTACAGAGAAAGAGAGGAAGAGATACCAGGATTCCAGCAACAGTGGCAGAGAGGCCTCAGTGAACGGGGCAGACAGTGGAATGAGGGAATAAGGTGGACAAATTATAGCAGAAAAGTGGAGTAGCAGACATGAGGCAGAGACGGTAAGCTATAGTCTTTAGTATAGACAGCTCTGAAACACTATAAAAAAAAAGAAAAAGGCAGAGGTCATTGTTAATGGTGTATAAGGATTTAAAAGACATAGTAGTCTTATTGACATATTTAGTTTGAATTTAATTTATACTGGTCTGTCTACTCATGTCAGATTTGAGGGCACAGACATCTTGACCCAAAAATAGCAGGTTATACCATGGTAACTATCCTTACTTTCCTATTAACTTAAACTGAAATCCTACAATACTTAATTGTCTTACTATGACCGATCTTAATTGAATCTGAATCATAATACTATGGGTTGGCCTTGGCTGATTTTATTTGAAATTGGTATGCTTGTCAGTATCAACCCCAAAAGTAGAGGCAACTACTCTAAGGATGACAAGATGTAAAGGATATCCATACTGGTATTAATTAGTAACAGCTCTCAAATCCTACAATGCTGTCAAAGTTAAGTTTTTATAAAAATAGGTGATACTATATTTAACTATAACAAGCCAGTGTGGTGGTCAAATCTATTGAAAATAACAAGAGAAAACATAGTAACTACGGAAGATCATCTATATTGTGGTCTTATATGTCTTATCCATTGCATGTTTTTCTAGGAAATTGTTTTGCTGTCTTGCTATGATTTGGTATTCCCTATAATACAGAGAGGATAGATATATATGTAGAAATTCACACATGGGTTTTTTTTCTTCTTTTTAATTATTTACGGGAACAGATTATATAATGCAAGATGTAATGAACAGATACTCTGAGGAAGAGACGCTAAGAAACCCGAGGCTAATTTTGTAGCATTATGATAGAAATTCTAGCAATACTATTGTTCACTGATTAGAATGACATTGGACTGGTTTCTTGAGTTCAATTTCAGCATATGTAGAGATGGGGACAGTTATCACTAAGAGAATGAGAGATGCGATGGTAGTTACTATTGTCTTCCCTAATTTGGAACTTGAGGACCTAAAAAGCCTCCAATGATTTGATTAGTTCTATAATATACAATAAGTATATAAGGTGGGTGAAGATGGGGACAACTATTTGTAAGAAACTAGAGACAATTAGATAGACAATGAAGATCTCTGGTGGGCTTGCTGCGAAATCTGTATTTCTTTAAATTTTTTTTAACTGCTTTGTTCTGTTTTGATATGTTTAATTTTACCCTCTTTGAGATGTAAAACAAATGTGTAGGACTTATAACCATATTACTGAGCTCTTGTTCGATCATAGAGCAGAAGGGTTTGTAGTGTCACTTTATGAATGTCATTCTAAATACTTCAATTCTGTAACATGAACAGCTATTTCTAAGACGACAATGTGTAACTTATCAACCAGCAATTTCTTACCGTTTGTTTTTCTGTAAGTTTGTATTATTTCTACCCTTTTTTTTTTTTATCTCCATGTATTCTTTTGTTTCCTTTTCTTTAAATAAAAAAAAAAAGGAAGTGTCAGATTTTGTTTCGCAAAAGTAGCCTGTAGTTCAAGTTGGCCTTGAACTCACTGTGTGACCAGACTGGCCTCAAATTCTCAGTAATCCTTCTGCCTCAGCCTCCCAAGTGCTGAGTACCACCACACCCAGCTAAAAGTATTAGATTTGCATAGGGTTGTTCTGGAAATACTTACCTGTTGGTTTGTCAAATGATCAAGATGTGATATGAAGATGTATCAAATCATCAAGATGATTACAATTATTATGTAGCACAAACATATTAAAAATATATAAGCCAGGCATGGTGGCACATGCCTGTAATCTAGCACTTGGGAGGCTGAGGCAGGAGGATCTCTGAGAGTTCAAGACCAGCCTGCACTACATAGTGAGACTCTGTCTCAAAAAGACAAAGAAAGCAAGCAAGCAAGAAAGAAAGGTAAATAAGCCAGGCATGGTGGTACACACCTATAACCCCAGCACTCAGGGGCTGAGACGAGAGGATCACTGTTAGTTTGAGGCCAGACTGGACTACATAAGAAGTTCAAGGCTAGCCTAAACTACACAGTGAGACCTTGTCTCAGAATGATAAATTGATAGAAAGACAGATAAATAGGAGATAGAGCTAAAGATCCATTTTCAGATGGAAAATAGATGTTGGTTGCTCTTTACATACAGTAACATTCTAGTTGTTTAGAGTAGAAGAAGGAATAATATGACAAAAATTTATATTCTCATACTTCCTATATTCCTAGAGAGTGAAGTCAGAGATTGTATGGGGGTGAGCCAGCGGTAATTTAGTAGGACAAATTATGGAACATCTTACACTTTGATTTTTACTGTGTATTCAGTAGGAAACTAGAGGATTTTGATCAAAGGAATGGCATTGTCTAATTTGTAGTTTTAGAAAGTCATCTGAGTGCTGTATTGAGACTGTTTTGCACAGGGAGTAGGTCAAGAAATCATTGCAGTCATGCAGGGAAAATGTACTGGTGAAAACTGGAATGGAATTAAATGAGGTAGTAGGGTCTCAATATATTTTGAGAAGGGAAATAGAGGAATTGCCAAGTGATAGAATGTGAGTTGTGAGAGCTAAAGAAGGTCAAAGATGATCTCCGAGGCTTTTGACTTAAGCAGCTACAAGGATGATGCTGTCATTTACTGAGATAGGGAAAATACGGGTGGTGCTAATGGAGCAAATAAATCCATTTTGGGGCATATTAAATTTGGTAGGCTTACTGATAATCAAATGTAGATGTTTAATAGATAGCTCGATGTATAAATCTGGGGAAGGAGATTTGTTTGTTGATGTAAAGGAAGCATTATAAATGTATGTATAGTATTTAAAGCCATGATTGCAGATGATATTACAAGTGTGAGTGACTGTTTATAGAGAAATCAAGAGGGAGGTTTGAATCTTGAGTCTTAGAATTGATTAAGGACTGGCAAAGACAGTGATAAGGAAAAGTAGGAAGAAAACTAGCAGAGTATGGTTTAGTGAAAGCTAAGGGAAGAAAACATTTGAAAGATCAGCTAGGTTTAATGCTGCTGATAAATGATAGGTCAGCAGCATAAGGACCAAGGATTACCGACTCAAGTTTGGGTAGGACTTCATATTCTGAGATTACACAGGCATATTTATAAAGTGGTCTCATTACTAATGTGTTTGGAAAATGGCGCTTAAAATTTTTATATGAAATTACTAATATTTTGAAATGAGAAGCATTTCTTTTGGCCTATTGGTACATAACGAATTGCAGAGGGGGTTATTTTTAGGGTGATTTAGTGACAATCTAGAACATACGATGTCAAGGAGCATATTCTAGTCTTGGGGTAAGAGTCCAGTATTATGTGACAAAGGCACCTAAAGCCAGGTGCCACTTTTTGCCACCTTTGTTTTCATTTTAAAGACATTGCATTCAGCAAGGTTCAAATGTAGGTAAAGATGAAGCAGTTAGGGACATTTAATTATTTAAGAATAAAAAACTGCATTAAAGTACATCATAGCAGCTGGGGATTTAGCTCAGCGGCATAAGCGCCTGCCTTACAAGCGTGCGGTCATGAGTTTGATCCCCAGTACCAAAAAAAAAAGTGAAATGAAATACATCATAGCCAAGGACAGTAGATAATAAGGTATTTCCCATAAAGGACCAAGAAAGACTAAAAGTAGTTGTAAAGACTAACTTTAACCCGTCTGACAGTATTAATTTTTGATGATATTTTGAATATGGATACTCTAAATCACATACTGATAGAAGTATGTAAGCTGGCTTAACTTCTTTATAATTGCGAAATAACTTAGAGACTGCCAAAATATCTGTCAGTAGCTAGGTGCGGTGGCACATTCCTGTAATCCTAGCACTTGAGAGGCTGAAGCAGGAGGATTGCCTCGAGTTCAAGGCCAGCCTGGGCTGTATTTTGAGTTCAAGATCAGTCTGAACTACATAGCAAGACCCTGTCTCAAAGAACAAACAAACAACAACAACAACAAATCAAAATATCTATCAGTAAATGGATAGATAGATGTGATATTGCCACCTAATAAAGTGGTATGTAGCAGAGAAAAGGAGTGTTTTGATATTTGTCATTATGGATAGCTCTCTACAATATTGAATTTTAAAAAAACTTAGGGTTTTTTACATAAACACAAATATGCATAGACACATGCTATATGTAATTTTACATCTATCTACCTATCTATACTGTAAAAGTATTAAAACCAAGATTATGCAACCAACTCACAATCCTGAGTGGCTGTGGAGAATGGAACAGTCTTAGACTTTAGCTTAACTGAAGGATGGGAGTAAACATGATTATTTCTGGGTAGTAAACACACAGGGTTTTTGCTACATTATTCTTTATACTCTTTATAATTTTTATTAGCTGAATGATTTAAAAGAAGATGGCCAAATTTCATAGGGTGAGTCCCCAGAAAATGTGTGAATCTATTTACATGTAACTTACCCTTTTTATTTTTTTAACCTATCTTACTGTATCTGAGGAAATAAGGTAATTGCTTCATATTAATTCATGACAGTGATTTTTTTCTAATGTGTCTTTGATGGTGTCACACTCAGATAAGGAATTTGTTAGTACACATTATGCCTTTCATTTTGACTCTTGATTTTTTTTTTTTAAGTTTCTAACTGTGAGGATATCAACCCATGAAAAGTACAGTTGCTTCCATAGTATCAGCAGGAAGGACTGAGTTGTATCAAAGCTTAATAATAGCATTAAGCCTTTTTTCTTGTTTAACTTCTTCCCTACAGGGAATCTTTAACCAGTTTCAGTGCAGTAGTGAAAAAGTCCTTCCATCTGACACTCTCCGCAGTGCTCTGGCAAAGACTTTTCAGGATGAACAGCGTTTCCAGCTGGGAATTATGGATGATGCTGCAGAGTGCTTTGTAAGTGCCAGCCTCTAGCCCTCTTTGATATTGGGTGGGACTGCTGATGGGCCACATCAGGGACTGACTGTGATGGAGTTTATTGTGCCCTGATCTGTACAGTTAGAATTAGGAGCTTCTCCAGTTTCTCAGAGATTTAGAGTTTCTCTGCTATTGCTGTATGAATTGTCTAGTGGATTTATTATATTTTCTTTCAGGCTTAAGGTAGGTTCTTGTTTGCCACCTTATAAAGCAGTGACTCTTACCATCAGAAGGGCCAAGTCTCATTAAAATACAAAGTGCTGAACTGAGAGCTTCTGATTCAGTAGCCTCGAATGGGTCTCAAGAATATCTATCTCTGACAAATTCCCAGATGATGCTAATACAGAGACTGCTGATTTGGGAATTGTGCTTTTTTGGACTTTTCCATTTCCTAAGATATTAAACAGGAAATATTAACAGTGCCAAAAACACAAGTGTGATGTGCTATATAGACAGCTATGTTGCCACCATGACTTTAATAGAAGATCCTAACTCTTCTGTCTGTTTATCATATGCAAAACACTCTGTGTAAACTTTAAAAATATCTGAGCTTGATATACATTACATCACAGGAAACATTGGGCCAAAATCCAAGGTGCTCCTGATCGTTAGATGGCTTAATATATTGAGAGTGGGAATGTAAAATGGTATCACTGCTTTGAAAAGCAGCTTGGTAGTTTCTTTAAAAACTAAACATGCAAATTAACATATGATCCAGCCATTGCCTCCCCAGACATATGAAAGAAATGAAATGAAAACTTATGTTCATTGAAAAATCTACATATTCATAGAAGCTTCATATGTAGTAGTAAAAAAATTGAATAACCAAATGTTTTTCACTAGATTGATGGTTAAAACAAACTGATACTGTATATCATGGATTATTGTACAGCAGTAAAAAGGTATAAATTGATCTATGGAACTGTTTGGGTGGATCTCAAAGGAATAATGCTTAGTGAAAATGTGATATCAAAAGGTTTTATTCTATGTGTAATATTCTTGAAATAACAGTGATAGATTCTGGAAGAATCAATAATCAGAAGTATTCTTACTTTATATGATGGTTGGCTGTTTCTCTGGGTAAACTGCTTGCCAGTTTGTTCACTTGGCTATTAAATTTTATTGATATACTGCTTTTGTGCTTTCCTTGTCAGGAAAATCTCCTCATGAGAATTCACTTCCACATTGCTGATGAAACCAAAGAAGATATATGTACTGCCAAACACTGCATTTCCCATCAGAAATTTGCAATGACATTGTTTGAACAGGTGAACCCTATTTCTATCTCTTCTTAGATTTTTTTTCAAGGAAACTTTGTCCTGGAATCTGGGTTCCATAGTAGTTCATGACCGTGGCTGCTTAGTTTCGTTTTTTCTCCCTGGCCCAGTGTGTGTGTACTAGCTGTGGCGCTACTTCTGATCCACTGCCTTTCATCCAGATGGTACATTACATCTCCACCACTTCCCTTTGGTGAGTCTTACAGAGTTCTCTGCTGTACCCTTTGACACTCCTCCAGTTGATTGGGTTTTAACTGAAGGCCACCAAATAGTTTATACCTCTGTTACTGGGTCTGTGCTATATTACAGGAACTCAGAACAATCATCTAAAAATAACCTTTGTTTTCCTTCTTTCCTCTCCTATCCCTCCCCTTTTCTTAGGCTCAGTTCTGGCCAGCAAAGTGGGAGGAGAAGTGGGGATTCTATGAGCTTTGGATTTTGGGACAGGTAGAGGCACTCACTGTGTTTGTGGGACACTGAGGCTGGTCAGGACAAGGGGCTGTGGTTTATTTAGTAGGCAGAAGAAGAAAAATCAAACATGTGAGATAGGAATTTGCATGAATGATTTTTGTGACTTAGCTATAACTCAGTACAATTCCCACCATCACCCCCCTTCTATCTTCATCTTGAAGCAATCAGGCTATTTGTATGCTGGAAAGGAGGGAAAAACCTTCGCCAAGCATGTTTGGTGAGCTGCTGCAGAATGCCAGCACCATGGGGGATCTGCGGAACTGTCCGGTAAGTTAACTTGGGTCAAGTTCACTGTGAGATGAACCTTGACTTAAGTGGAATTGAGGTACAGCGTCACTGTGGTATTGACTGTCATTACATACATACTTCAGAGCAACTGTGGAGAGAGGATCCGGATTCGCCGTGTGCTGATGAATGCCCCGCAGATAATCACAATCGGTCTGGTGTGGGACTCTGACCATTCAGACTTGGCAGAAGATGTCATCCACAGTCTCGGTACCTGCCTTAAACTGGGTGATGTGCGTGTTACTTTATTTCTGACTTAGACTTCTTCTGTTTTATTATTATTCAAGCACTGAATAAAAGTTATATCCTAGAAGAGAAATATTATGGTGTTTTGGACATATGTTAATGTGTGCAGATTCATATGTGTATATGAGAAGGTAGCAGGGGCTGATGAGAAGAAATGGAGTGATTTGGGCTTTGTAGAATGGGATTGACAGAGTTTACTTACTGGTAAAAAAAATGAATGAATTCATTTATAGTGTTACTGTATACTTTGTTCAATGTTAGTTTACACCATGGGAGGCAGGGTTGTCAAAGGAGTGGTCAGTTCTGACTGGAGGGCTGTGTGGGAGCTGAAGCAGATAACTGATTGGTAGCCTGAGCCTGGGAATTTGAAATGCAGTTATAAACCAGTATCCATGGAGGAGGTAATGAAGCACCTGGGGAGAGAATTAGTGGCGTAGGGGATTTCTGTATATTTAGTTAGAGAAATACATAGGAAAGAGACCTCAGACTGGGTCTCGGCCTTATTAGCTCCATATTCTAGATGGGTGTGGCCAGGGTTTTCCTATGACTCAAGAACTAGAAAATTTGGTTTTCATTATAATAGTTTCTGTCTGGATATTTCTGTGACTAAAGAGAATCTTTCTCTTTGGAGCACTCAGTCTTTAGAAAAAAAAAAAAAGAATCTTTCTCATTGTCATTTTAAAGCTATTAAGCATTACTGAGAGTAAGTGAACTTTCTGGAATCTTATTTTAGGTTTTCTTCCCAATGAATACTACTTGAATAGGCTATGTCCAATATATTCCTTTTAATTTCTACAGTCTAAATAGTCTTTACTATTCTGGTTTAATTCTTATGATTATTTTTTCAACTGTGTAAGTTTCTCAAATTCAGAATACTTCGTTTCAAATGTTTCTATATATGTCTTGTACCGAGGACATTGCTGGTTACCTAGGAGTCGAAATCTTGTATTTCCTGTATTTACCACCCCACCCCACTCTTTTTTTTTTTTTTTTTTTTTTTTGAGACAGGGTCTTGCTATGTAATTCAGGTTGATCCTAAATAAACTCACTATGTAGCCGAGTCTGGCCATGAATTTGCAGCAGTCCTCCTGCTTCAGCCTCCTGGATTTCTCTTCTTTTGTTTTTTTTTTTTTTTTTTTTTACCATTCAGATTTCTACCCAGGATTTCCCTTATTAAGGATGTTTAAGATACTCAGTAGGAAATTTATATGTGTGGCTAGCTGATAAGCAACCTTGGGAACTTGAGAGCCTTTTTTTGTGTGCGTGTGTGTGTTTTTAAAATTTTCTTAGCTTCTCACATGAGACCCCTCAGTAAGAAAATAATAAAAAGTATGAAGGAACATCACTCCATACCAGTTTAATCTCCACTGTCTTGTTTTTCTGTTCATTTTCACTTCATAGCTTGCTTGATTGCTTTCTGTTGTTTTGGGTGGGTGTTTGCTTTGAGACAGGATCTCACTATGTAGTTCAGGCTAGTTTAAAACTATGTAGCCCAGGCTGGCCTCAAACTCAGCAATCCTCCTGCCTCAGCCTCCTGAGTGCAGGGGTTACAGGTATGTAATCATTTCTTATGATTAATCTTGACTGACAAAAAAAAAAAAAGGCTGAAGGGAGGGGAAGCAAGTCAGTGTATCAGTTAAGAAATGTTGATGAGTTCTGCTGAGACATATGAGATGATGAAATATGTGATGCCTCTTTTCTTTCTTTCTTTTCCCCCTACAGCTGTTTTTCAGAGTGACGGATGATCGGGCCAAACAGTCTGAACTGTATTTAGTAGGAATGATCTGTTACTATGGCAAACATTATTCTACATTCTTTTTTCAAACAAAGGTCCGCAAATGGATGTATTTTGATGATGCTCATGTTAAGGAGGTATGGATATTCAAGGCCTTCTTAAAGCATTTGATGACTGCAACACAATTATTTGTCTTTTATATTTCATTTTTATAATTTTAAATGATGATTCTCATTGCTGTCAGATGTTCTTTGCATTTTTCTGCTTCTTTCTCAAATTGATAAGACTATTTGTCTTATTTTCTTACTTCTTTGAATATAGGATCAATATGTCTTTTATTGTTTTTCTCTCTGTATTTTCATCAGACATTTAGCATAGTTTTGTATTTACAGTTGATGAAATACCTTCCTTCCCCCAGTACTAGGACTGAATCCAGGGCTTTTGCACTGAAGTATATTACAGCCTTTAAAAAATTTTTTTTGAGACCATGTCCTGTCTAAGATACCCAGGCTGGCCTCAGACTTGTGATTTTTTTGCTTCAGCCTCTCAGAGTGCTTGAATCATAAGCATGTGGCATGTGGCACCACACTAATTTATATTTAAAAAAATACATTGTTTGATTTGAGTAAGCACAGTCTAATGCCTCAACTTAGATTATAAAGTTAACATGAAGTTCAAAATTCCAAGTCCTTTTATCCCTCTAATAGTATGTTTTCTTGGCTATGAATTATTCTAAAATCCTAAAGTGTCCTATCATAGATAAACATTTTTTGGGGGGATAGCATAGAAAAATAAGGTCATAGTGATGCTTGAAGCAGGAAACCTGGTACTGTCTACACCATAGATTTTATGAATGAAGGTGTTTAGGTCATTTGTATGAATGTTAAGAAGCCTCTTGTGATAAAAACTAGCAGCAAGTAGACTGCTGACTACTAATTCATGGCCTTGAAGCAATGTCTTACACAAATAGTGGTCTGTCAAATTTCCTTGTTCTTCTTTTGTTTCTTTTTTTGCTACCATTATAATTTAGAACAACTTATATGAGCATTAGATTTTTATTTGAAAAGTATTCTTACAAGGTACTAAGAGTTGTATGTGAAAAGTATATAAATGTGTTTTAATTAAAATAATAGTGCCAGGTGTGGTGGTGTATTTAAGAAGCTGAGGCAGGAAGATCGCAATGAGTTTGAGGCCAGTGTAGGCTACAAAGTGAGTTCTAGGCTAGCCTGAACTGCATAGCAAGACTTTGTCTCAAAAAGATAAGACAAAGCAAAAATAATGCAGTTGTAGATTTACAGAATGACTGTTATGAGCAAAGCACCTGCACAGCTCATGTCTAAAGATGTGTCCAGTTCAAGCTTAAGATAGCATGAGTATGAGATTTGGTTGAAATTTTACGTCCATGGCAGTTTTATCCTGCTTACCTACGGTGATAGCAGAGCTATAGCCATTACAAGGCTAAGGCTGAGAGACTGAGCAGTCTATTCTAAGCAGTTTGACATTTATGGCCTGCCATGTGTGAACTCTAAAACTGAATATCATTTATTCTAAGGCAGTCTCCGAGGGAGTTCCTGTGTACTCTTTGGCTTCATAAGACTAACTTCAATATTTAGGAGAAAATTACAGAAATTCAAATTCCAAGTGAGGTGTTTAATCTAGTCCCCCTCAGTTTAGTTTGAATCTTTTTGTTAGTTTGTTTTGGTGATACTGGGGATTGAACCCAGACTTTTTACACTGCGCTGCAGTTCCTTCTTAAATTTTTTGAGGTATGGTCTTACCAAGTTGCTCAGTCTGGGCTTGAATTTGTGATCACCCTGTCTTAGCCTCCCTGAGTTCTGAGATTATAGGTGTGCACTAACACACCCATATTTTTGTTTATTCTTTAAAACTGAGTTGATGTTTTACAGAAATAGAAGAAACTTTATTCTTTTGAGGGAGGGTACTAGGAATTGAACCCAGAGTCTCATGCTTGGCAGGCAGGCACTATGCCACTGAGCTACATCCCTGGCCCCTCATTCTTTTTCTTATGGACTATGGTTTATGAAAGTTTTTAGGAAAAACAAAACAAACAAACAAAAGATACAATGAAAAATTTATTGTTTATGTCTAAGATCTTTTCTGTAGATAAGTAGACTGGAAAAATGTGTTTCAATTGTGAATGTGAAATATAATTATCATGTTCTTCTGGTTGTTTTGGTTCAGATTGGGCCCAAATGGAAGGATGTCGTGACCAAGTGCATCAAGGGGCATTACCAGCCCTTGCTGCTGCTTTATGCGGACCCCCAGGGTACCCCAGTGTCTACCCAGGACCTGCCCCCGCAAGCCCAGTTCCAGCCATACAGCAGGACGTGCTACGATAGTGAAGATTCAGGTGAACTACCTAGGTCTCTACCTCTTCTCTCCCCCTCACTCCATGTGACCGGGGGGTTAGCACTCATACTTATGTGCTTTGGGTGTAGCCTGGTTTGAAGTGAGGATCCATTTGATGTAAGAAAGAAGTGCCTACTTGTACTGAAGCCTAACTTTATGTGAGACTCTGTTTCCTTCAGCTTTCAAAAGTATGTTACCTAAATCATTTGGCCTGAACTCCAAGTGAAGATTCTTATGTTTATTTACATAGAGGTAGCCAAGTTTGTGAGGCGGATATCAGTAGTCAGCCTTCTAATGTTGGATAAGGTGATTGATTTGTACTGATAATTCATTAATGATTTTTTAATTCAATGGTGATATAAATTAATTGTTAAAAAAGTAGGAGTAAAAAAAAAAGTTGGATTAAAAAAAAAGTTGGAGTCAATATAAAGCTAGTCATTTTTAGGGGAATGAGAGGATTTTGTTTTAAAATCCCAAATGGAATAATAATATTCTTAGGTTTATGACTCAGTTGTTTACTTCTGTTTGAAACTTAAGGGCCAGGGTATAGTTCAGTGGCACAGGCAGCTGCCTGGCAAATGTAAGGTCCTGAGTTTGATTGTTAGTACCAAGAAAATAATTTAAGAAACTTAAATATTGTTTTCCAGCCGGGCATGGTGGTACATGCCTGTAATCCCAGCACTTGGGAGGCTGAGGCAGGAGGACTGTTACAAGTTCAAGACAGCCTGGGCTACAAAGTGAGCTCTAGGCCATCCTGAACTGCATAGAGAGACCCTGGCTCAAAAAGACAAAAAAAAAAAAAAAAAAAAAAATTCCTAAAGAAACAGTTTTTAGATTGATGGCTGATGTGTCAGGCTAGCCCATAAAGGCTCATATGTGGTGTATAATCCTGGCAGTTTTGGCTTGGTTTTTGATGAGGAAAAAAAATTATTTTATTCTTTTGACTCTACCACCAGTCCTTTGTATATTTTTGAAAGATAAATTTCTTGGCTTTTAAGTCTTTCTCTCTCTCCTTTTTATCTCTGTCCTGTTGCTTTTCTTATTTCTGTATCCCACCTACACCTGTTTACTCCCTTTAGCCAAACATCCCTGTGTCCTCTTGTACTTATCTTAGCTAAGCATTTAGAAGCAAGCATTCTGAGTGAGCCAATGCCCACGAAAGAATAAAAATGAGCTCTGTAACTTCTCAGAGATATTAAAAAATGCATATAACACCAATTAAATTTTTATAGTGATTTTCATGCCAGCATAGGAGAAAGATTATAGGATAGATGAACAAGTGGTTATGTACCACAGGTAGGCCTGGGATTTTCCATTGAAATAGAAGTTATTTCTCACGACTTTTTCATTTCTTCCATTTTCCTCTCAGAGGTTTTCTTTTTTTTTTTTTTCTTTTTTTTTTTTTTCATTTTTATCGGTACCGGGGATCGAACTGAAGACCACCTGCTAGCAAGGCAGGTGCTTATGCCGCTGAGCTAAATCCCCAGCCCCCTCTCAGAGATTTTCTAAACTCCCACAGTTTTTTACAGTGACAGGCAAAGTGAGGGCTTCAGCAACGAAGGGGCAGAGGAGGGAGGAATTATTTGTGTGTTTGGATTACCTGGAAGTTGGGTTTTGGGAAGAATGGCTCTGTGGATATGCTTGTCGCCCTTCCTTCTAGGAATTCTTGCCTTGGTGCTATGTTACATCTATCTTTTTCCTATTCTCTGTCACTGTTCTTCTCTTTCCTCACTTTTGTATGTATGTCTCCTCCTTCCCTTAGGGAGGGAGCCCTCAATTTCAAGTGACACTCGAACAGATTCTTCAACGGAGAGCTATCCTTACAAACATTCCCACCATGAGTCTTTGGTCAGTCACTTCTCTTCTGATTCTCAGGGAACAGTCATCTATAATATGGAGAATGATTCCATGTCCCAGAGCAGTTGGGACACAGGTAGGGACTTACACAGAGTCACTCTGCTTGCCTGATTCAATATCTGCACGGAAGAATTTCTAGGAGAAAGAAACTAGGAACTGGGCATAGTAGTGCATGCGTATAATCCCAACACTTGGGAGGTTAAGGCAGAAGGATCCTTGCAAGTTTGAGACCAGTCTAGGCTACAAAGTGATCTCAAGGCCAGCCTGAACTGCATAGTGGGGCCCTGTCTCAAAAAAGACACAGAAAAAGAAAAAGAAACTATGGCAAGTCAGACATGCTTGCATGCAATGTGGAAAGGCACAGAACTTGGGTAATGGTGTGGGCTACAAAGAAACAGCAGAGTTCTAAATGAACAATGATACTTTATAGCATATACTCTTGTCAGCAATAGCACATCAACAAACACAGTTATAATATGATTATTGATGTAATTATTCAGAAGTCTTCTTTTCTCTTGTTAAACTTTTGACCCCTGCCCTTCCCCAGTACCCCATTAATACCTATGATCTTACACCATGTGATGTTTTTATGTCAGTTTTTGTCCTGAGCGAAGAGCTTTGTGAGAAAGTTTATTTATTTATTTATTTACAGCTGCTCATTAGTTTGCAATGCTGCTGAAGGACAGATAAGCAAAAGAAAGGGAAATAGCTGGCTTATTGTACATTCCATACAGATAGCATTCTTGAGTTTTATTAATCTGCAGGAGAATGTGCTTATGTTACCGGGAGAAATCAATACAGGGCGTGCAGTACAGGGAAGAACAGTGAATGAAAAGTTTATCATGAGGATAGAACACCGAATACATGGAACAGTGCCCATATTCTTAAGAATATGGGGATTAGTGAGCTTATGAGGCTTCTGATTGCAAGTTTATTGTGTGTAGGTGGCCTTCATTTAAATAAAAAATTTCAAACATTTGTAAGTATGCAGAATGGTGTGGTGTCCTTTGATGTACCTGTCACCTAGTTTCTGTAATTATAACTTATGGCTAGTCTAGTTTTACTTGTACCTCTACCCACTTGCCTTATTCTTAAATTATTTTTAGAAAATTATTCTGCCCCCCCCCCACTCACGACTGCCTGCTTGTAAGGAAGGCGCTTATGCTGCTGAGCTAAACCCCTCAGCCCCACCCCAGTCTTAATTTACTAATTATTCTAGACCTCAGCTATTACTTCTTTCATGAATTTTTTAGCATGTATTGTTAAAGCATAAAAAAATCATTTTTTTAAGTATACCATAACCACACTTAAAAAATAAGTCACTGTATAGAGAGCCCTTATCTCATCGTGGTCTGGGAAGTTTATATTTGTAATCCCAAAGAAACGTTATTAGAATTCTAGCGAGGTAATTCTAATCTACCACTTCCACTGCAACCTGTGGTGAGAATAAATAGACTAAGGCTTACCTATACTTGTCGGGAGCCAGGGGTCCTAAATTCAGCTAGGATGATGGGTAACCAGAACAAAGACCTTGATTCAAGGTCAAACTCAGGTTTTATTAACTCTTATCAAGGAGAGTGGCTGGGAAGTCCGTGAGTGGTGTGAGCTAGGCTAGGTAGGTGGCCTGAAATCAGCTCTGCAATACACTGAGAGAAGGATATACAGGAAGAGTAATCAGCAGAACACAATTCAAGGTAGTATCTAATGTTTTAGAATTGGTTTCTTCAGCTCTGATGTGTAACCTTTCATACTCTGGGAAATCGGAGCCTCTTATCACAAGGATCCATCCCAGCAGAAAGTCATTGTGGGGCATGGCTCTCCCTCCTACCCAGCTTACATGTGTTTTGGCAGAGCTTTTTTGGGGCAGGGTAACACTGACCTGTTGCCTTTCTTCAAAGAGGCCATACCAATTTGTATTGCTTAGGCCAACTGAAGGAATAAGTAAAAGTGCTAGCCAGCTCTGTACATACCAAAACATGGAACTAGGGCCAGTGTTAATCAAAATAGAGATGATTACGCTTCTTTCAAGGAGATTTACCCAGGTGGTCTTCCACATCACTGTAGTGAACAACTACAACTACAGCTACCGTTGTAGTTCAGTGGTACGGCACTTGGCTAGCATGCATGAGGCCCTCAGGCACCACCATCAAAAAACAAAGTTAGTAATGATTCCTAAATTACTAAATAACCAACAAATATTCATGTATCATCTTACAAATGTCATAATATTTTAATGATTTGTCACTCAAAATCCAAGTGAAGACTATACATTGTAATAGTAGCTGTCTTGTAGATTATTTTTAATGTATAGATTTCTCCTGTTTTTTCCTTTGTAATTCATTGTTACAGAAATAAGTAGTTGTTCTGTGCATTTCCTACATTCTGAATTTTGCTAATTGTATCCCATGATATAATTTAATATCCGTCTTTTTTTGCCTACTGGGAATCAAACTTAGGACCTTGTACTTGCCAGGCAGGTGCTGTGCTGCTGAGCTACATCCCTGGCCCCTTCTCTGTTCTTTTTGTCTTGTAAATTGTAGTTGAAACTAGAAGTTCATTCAAATTCATTCTTTTGATAATTACTGTGCATATTTCTGTAAGTGTAAACTAGGGAGGAGCCAAACCAATAATAAGTGAAGTCTTTTCTAGGAGAGTGAGGTTTATGTAAGGGATTGATATATGGGGATTCTCTGTCTTTGGTTTAACACTGGTAAATTTAGTTCCTCTGAGTGATTTTTTTCTTTATTAAATCTTTCTTGTAGGCCTAGAGTTAACAAAGTAATATATAAGAGCAATAAAACGTTGCATGAAATGGTTGAGAATACATATCTATATCATTGGAAATACATAGCTGTATCATTGTATATATATCCTTGAATACGTACAAGGATTTTTATTTACTAGCATATGAAAACAAATTTCTGTTGAATGAATGTAAATGCATTTGAGAACCTATGGGATTTTCTCTAAGCTTTCTTCAAACTTAACTCACTTTTCTATCTTCTATCAGCTTAATTAAGTGATTTAAAACCCATTTTTTTCATTTAATCTAATTGTATTCCTATATTTTCACACTGTGCCATGAGGCATGGCAAGTTACGTAAATAGTCTAGCTTTCCCAGGTTTCCCAATGATTATTATTGTGAGACTGTGAAGGGTAATTTCTAAATGATAATCAGGTTTGAAGAAGTATGGGTTGGAGGTGAGAATGAGAATTAGCAAAGTTGAAATAACCTCTTAAATGCTCCACATTTAAGGAAAGTTTAGAACTGGGTCTTAAAGCAAAGTATAATCAGAGCTCTTTTAGGCAAAGTCTGGCACACCCAGAATTATACCAAATATTCTAAAAATCATACTTCATTTCATACATGTTGTCAAGTAAATAAAAATAAAAACTTATCTTCAATTTATAAGTGAAAATACATAATCTTTAAAATGTTTGCCTTTTAAAAATTCCCAAGGGCTGGGCATCTAGTGTAATAATAAATCACTGCTTAGTATGCATGAGTCCCTGAGTGTGGTTCTTAGAACCAAAAAAACAAACCAAAAATCACCACATAATGTGTCCTTAGTTATGAGAGATTCTTTCACTTAAATCAGATAATTGGCCACTTAACCCCTATATCTTCTTCTGATTCACGAGTACACTAAGTTAATGACACTGTCATTAATCCGAGAGAGGAACTAGATTCTCAGGACAATGGAGGTCAGTCCAAATATCAGCTTCTTCCCATTTCTTTGTTCTTTCAGGACACCTGACTGATAGTGAATGTAATCAGAAGCACACATCCAAGAAAGGGACTCTGATAGAACGCAAGAGGAGCTCTGGCCGTGTTAAGAGGAAAGGTGATGAGCCACAGGCTTCTGGATATCACAGTGAAGGCAAGCCATTCTGCATCCTTCTTTTCTCATTTTCCCCGTCAAATTTGTCATCTGCTACACTGGTCGCTTACCTTTTCTGCTCAAAGGGCTTTTCCTTGCTTTCTAGACTTTGGGGTCTGAGTGTATGTGATCACTTCAATTTGTTTCATTCTTTGTATTTATAGGAGAAACACTGAAGGAGAAGCAGGCTCCTAGAAATACATCCAAACCATCCAGTAGCACCAACAGACTAAAGGATTTTAAAGAGACAGTCAGCAATATGATCCATAATAGACCGTCCTTGGCTTCTCAGACCAATGTAGGATCCTCCTGTGGGGGGAAGGGAGGAGACCAGCCTGGCAAAAAACCTCCTAAGAGTCTGCCTTTAAGCTCTCATGACTGGGAAATAGAGAGTACCAGCAGTGAGTCAAAATCCAGTTCTTCCAGCAAGTATCGTCCAACATGGAGACCCAGACGAGAGTCTCTCAATATTGACAGTATTTTTAGTAAGGACAAAAGGAAGCACTGTGGCTATACCCAGCTTAGCCCCTTTTCTGAGGATTCAGGTGAGGAGATAATTAGGGAAGAATTGGGCTTTCAAATAAAGTTGATTAACATCTTTACTCTGATATCAGGTTTTTTTGGGATATGAGTTCAATAAATGGCTAGAGGGAGGGGTTAGTTACATCTTGGTTTAGGTAAATAATAAATCTACCTCCTTTTTCATATTTGTCCTTTGATTGGAACAGCTAAAGAATTTACATCAGATGAACTAAACAAACCACCTACTTATGACATTAAAGCTGGTGGACCAAGCCCCAAATACAAGCCCTGGGGTCCAACACGGCCAGGCTCTCAACTTTTAGAGCAGCACCCTCGCCTAATCCAGCGAATGGAATCTGGCTATGAGAGCAGTGAGAGGAACAGCAGCAGTCCTGTCAGCCTGGATGTAGCCCTCTCTGAGAGCTCAAATACCTGCAGGTATTGTTTGGCCTTTGAATAAAGAGAGTGTCAGGAGGTGTAATATAACCTGCCTGTTGAGAGCTTTCCGCCATCCATGACCCAAGACGAGAGCTGGGCTTCTGTAGCATCCATCTGGGTAAATAATAGAGCAACCTGCTTTCTGTAAGCAACAGCACCCTCTGCTGGGAAGAGGACCAAAGGCGTCTGAGAAGAGCATTTAGTAATTATTTAGTTCTCACTTTAGCAGCATTATGTATTAAAATTAGAATAATACAGAGATTAACGTGCCCTTTATGCAAAGATGACATGCAAATTCATGAAATGTTCTATACTTTTCAGTCATGTATGAACAAGTCTCAATCTAATATGTACAACATGAAGAATATAGGTATTAAAATTATACATTGAAATATCAAATGAGATTTTTTTTTTTTGGAGACAGAGTCTCACTATGTAGTTCAGGCTGACCTCAAATTCGCTGTGTTTCTCTTGGCTCAGCTGTCTGAGTGCTGGGATTACAGGCGTGCATTCCCATGCCCAGTTTAAATGAGATTTTAACTGCTTTTGCCACAAAACTGCTCTTGCCACAAAAACAAAGAAAGTAACTGAGCTGATGAATATGTTAATTTTGTTACAGTTATTACTTGTCTATGTGTATTCATGATGTGTTATATACCTTAAATATATATAACTTAAATGTTTCATAAGTATATTTTAATGAAAGGATGAATTAGTGAATCTGACCATCATAACCTTAAAATTAGAGAAGAAATACAGCTGTTATTTATTCTTGCTTTGTTGTTATTTTTAACTGAACCCAGGGACTTTGTACTGAGCATTTTTTTCTCTTTTTTTTAGGGTTGCTCAGAATTCTGTGTTTTATAAAGCCAGTAATATTCAGAATCCCATAAGATAATGGTAACAGTTTAATAGAGCTCATTTTATCCTGCCTGTTGGGCACAGTCTATTCTGTAAACTTTAGATCTCTAAACATTACTTTTACTAAGTTGTCCTGGATGCAGTTTTCCTGATAGCTTATGGTTTCTTTGGCAGCCATAATTGTATATTTTACAAGGGCTGATACCATATTTTCATTCTTTTTTATTCTTCTTCTCTGGTTGCCTGGCCCTTTTCAGTTTTACTCATGAGAGGAGTGTATAAAAATTTAGTGAGATGGAGTAGGGATATAAATCAGTTGTAGAGTACTTACTTAGAACGTACAAGACCATGTGTTCCATATGAGAGAGAGAGAAAGACTGACTTTAAAGAGCGAGGAAGACAGTACACATGAGAGCAATATGTTCATTCATTTAGTAGGCTTTGAATGTCTGCTATGTGTCAGATGCTTTGTGCAATACACAAGGTATGAGCAAGATAAAGAGATCGAGAAATCGAGAAATGAGTGGATAAGTAAATATTTCAATTATTCAGAAGTAGTTTAGCAGCTGTTTTTTGTTTGTTTGTTTGTTTGTTTTTAAGATGTGGGTCTTACAGTTCTGCTTATATCAATCTCAAACTCTGGAATTTTTTTTTTTTTTGAGACAGACTCTCACTGTGCCATTCAGGCTGGCTGTGAGCTCACTTTGTAGCCCAAGCTGGTCTCAAACTTGCAGTGATCCTCCTGTCTCAGCCTCCCAAGTGCTGGGGCTACAGGCATGCACCACCATGTCCAGTTTTAAAGCTCTTAAATTTGAGAGAGCCTGCTGCCTCAGCCTCCCAAGTGGATGGGACAACAAACATATTATCAGCACATCTGCCTCCTAAAAACTTTAATTATTTTAGTTTGATGTTTTGTTGAGAGAATTTAATCTCAGAAATGTTGTTAGTAACCACTCTTCTGATGCTTTTACTCGACTTTGGCTTCTCTTTTGAAGGGATCCAAGTGCTAAGAAGTCAACAGGCTTCGTCCCTTCTTGGCGTCATATCCCAAAGTCTCATAGCAGTAGCATCCTGGAAGTAGACTCCACAGCAACCATGAGTAGCTGGACAAAGACTCAACCCCTCTTGGGTAAGCATAAGGACACTGAATGCTGTTGACTAGATTTGACCACCAATTCTGTTTTGGAGAACAGCCTTATCTTAGCACATTTGTAGTTGGAGAATAGATGTAGTTTGATTATTCCATCAGAATGTAAACATAGAGACATTTCTATTGTTCCCTCTTTGCATTTGTCTATTTTTTGTTCTCCTTCACAGTTTACCTGAATGTTTCTATTTTGAAGAGAGCCCTTGCAAGAACAGTAAGGGACAGAAATGTAAATAGTCATAGTAACAGCTCCATTTCCCCAGAAAAATAACTCCTAGAGCAATGGTGACAAATCTATGGCGTGCATGCCACAGCAGGCTGTTTGTACGATCAAAAACTTTGAAAGGTTCATCATCACTGTCCTAGGGCTTTCCTTGGTATAGGAAGAGCCTCTTAAGAAATGGATTTTTTATTGAGTAGTTCTATGGGTTGTGATTTGAAAAGGAGGGGAATAGGTTGTGGGCAAAATTGGGAAATAAGCAATTTATTTTTTTCAATCAGATTTTATTGATAGATTTTATTTGTTTATTTTTTATTTTTATTTTTTTTGTATAGTTTTTTTTTGGGGGGGGGTCTTTTTCCTTTTTATTGGTACCAGGGATCGAACTCACAACTGCCTGCTTGCAAGGCAGGTGCTTATGCCACTGAGCTAAATCCCCAGCCCCTATTGATACATTTTAGATGTACATAATGGTCGAATTCATCATAGAGAATTTCCACCTGTATATTATATAACTTGATTTTTTCTGGGAAATAAGCAATTTAAATATACTTCTGCCTCTGCCTCTATCTCCTAGTCTGATTATCAGTTCTCTTATTAGTTGTTGAAAGTTCTTAGAGGTGTTTGGAATGAAGATGCACAGTAACAGTAACTCTTTTAGGTATATGTGGTATAGTGTGAACTCTTAGGTATATGTGATATAGTGTGAACTCTTTTAGGTATGTGTGGTTAGTGGTTAACATTTGGTAGGGATCTGGAAGAGCAAAGGCAGAAATGTTATGTATCCTAGGTTATAATAAGATAGATACTGATGGAAGAAATTCATACTTTCCAATGAAATTGTACATTTGGTTTATTTCCTACATTTTCATTTATTTCATGTTAACACACTTGTGATCATGCATATATTTACTGTCGCTTCTCTTGAGAGACTACCTTTCTAGCATAGTAAGACTGAGTATGGGCCTGGAGATATAGCTCAGTGACACGGATGCCTGCCTGGCAAGTGCAGGGTCCTGAGTTTGATTCCCAGTACCAAAAAATAAAAAAAGACTGAATTTTATACTTTCCCAAATAATCTTCAATTCTGGACAAGCTGGATAGAACACACCAATAGGAATCCTCAGCTGGTTAAAAGACACTTAGCAAAGAGTTATGATATAATTTCTAACACATTACCTCACCATCGTGTTCATGAAAGAAGTCTTACATGTCCCTTAATTTGACCTAGTAGTTTTATTAAGAGGTAGAACAAATATTTTTATCTGATGACTAATGGTTCCTTTTAAAAAACTGAAGGAGTAAATCATGTCCAGTGGTTCAATAATCTACTTTTGCCTCCTGAAATTGAAGGAACCTGAGTTTCCACTATGGTATATGTCCTCTTTTTCTATGTGTTTACAAATACATAAATAAGTTTGTGTGTGTGTGTGTGTGTGTGTGTGTGTGTGTGTGTGTGTGTACTATGTTTTTAAAAAAATGAAATCATACTATATGATTTCTATACTATATGGTACTATATATAAATTATCTCAGATTTTTCATTTATCATGGACATTACTAAATCTATTTTAGATCCATCAATGAACATTTGAAAGGTTGAATTTTTTCCACTATGGGAATTTTACAAATTCATTAATGAGATGATGGAAATTAATGATGAGAAAATGCCTTACTTAAAACTTCCCAATGAGCCAGTGACAGTGCTTGATAGAGAATGCTCCCTACTGATAAAAGCATGCATTCTGCCTGGCATGGTGTTGTATACCTGTGATCTCAGCATTCTGGAAGGCTGATGCAGGGAAATTGCAAACTTGAGCATAACATGGGCAACTTAGTGATTTGCAAGACCATGCCTCAAAATTTAAAATAAGAAAAAGGAAAAAAGAAATGAAGGAAAGGAAGGATTGAAGGACAGAGGCACAGAGGACTTTAGGGCAGGTCAATGGATTGGAAATGTAGTTCACTGTGAATGCCATTGGCTTCATCCCCAGTACTTCCTTCAACCACTAAACCAAAAAACAAACAGAGAAGCACAATAGAGCATGGATTATTACTTTAATCTACTTGACTGAGGTGAGCTCTACCCTATGCCACATGTGTCAATTGTTTTGTGTGATTCATTTTTTTTTTTTATTCCTACAATGGGAATAATAGTATTTACCTTGTCAGGTATGAGAATTATATGATCATTATACTTAATTCATGTTATTTATATGTAAAAATACTTAATACTATTCTTGGTACTTTGAAAATGCTTACAAAAGGTGTCCTTTCATTACTGTGGTATTTGTTATTGTTATTATTACTAGCCTGGGTCCCTGGATGTGATATGTAAAGCACTATCCAAAACATGAACTTCAAATTGAAGAAAGAATTTTAGAGGAAAAAATTTTATAGTGGCTATAAGTATAGTAAGTGCTTCATCTTGGTTGTGGGAATAAGGTTTACCTTCTCTTTTGCTTTATCCAGGCGGGGAGGTATCTTCCAAAAGTGAACTGGATGAATTGCAGGAAGAGGTGACCAGAAGGGCCCAGGAGCAAGAACTTCGAAGAAAACGAGAGAAAGAATTAGAAGCTGCTAAAGGGTTTAACCCTCATCCCAGCCGCTTCATGGACTTGGATGAACTGCAAAATCAGGGTAATTATGAGAACTTGGTTGTGGGTAACAGGGAGAAAAAGGAGAAAGGAGAAAAAAGGAACAAAGTACAAAGCTTATAAATTCACTCTTTTTTTTTTTTTTTTTTTTTGTCTTTTTCATTTTTTTTTTATCGGTACCGGGGATCAAACTCACGACCGCCTGCTAGCAAGGCAGGTGCTTATGCCGCTGAGCTAAATCCCCAGCCCCTATAAATTCACTCTTTAGCAAAGTTACATTTTTGGTTAATTCGGCCATTCTGAAGATACTTAGTTAAAAGAGAGATGAGCCTGTCATCTGCAGATAGGCACTGATTTTGGCCTTGCCTATTAAAATTCTGTAAAGTAGAGATACTATATGATTTGTGAAAAATTTTTTCATAAACACCTAAGGAAAGTATAAATAGAAGTATCTCAATTCAGAAACAGTCAAAAAGGAAAAGCCATCCTGACCATGAGTAATGGAAGAAACAAACCCTGAACTATCTTGCCTGGAGCTTCAAGATTTGCCAAATAAGAACCAAGAACACAATACCTAATTTTCGTTTTTTTCCCCTCTCAAGTAGTTCTGGTGATCAGACTCAGTGTCTAGTATTGGAGAAGCCCTCTATCACTGAGCTATGCTTGCGCTCCTCCCCAGGTTACTTTTGATCTCACTACAGTTTATTCCCCAGTCTCATGAGATTTGCATGGATGTAAGTTCCACCAACCACCTTATGTTAATCACCTCTTCCTCTCTAGAACTTTGTGCCAAAAATGGTCTTCAAATATACATGCAGGCTGAAGTATCTACCTTTACAAGGTTGTGAAACATACCAGCTTTTCTATAAAATGAATTTATAATTCTTATTATTCAGAATCCCCAGATACAGTGAATTCTGCTAAAGCAGTGAAAGGAGCCAGTACTGTTTGAGTGGCTGCTTTCTCTTGACTTTCCCTTTCTTTTTATCAACCCTTTGAGAAGCTGCCTGGGCTGAGTAATCCTACTTTGGGACAGCTTTTCTTTAATCCTGCTGTCTTTCAATTCAAAGCAGTTGTCTTATATTTTTTCCAGAGCATTGCATTTGTTTCAAATTTAATTTTAAATTTCAAATTTGTTAGCTTTGAATTATTCCTTGGCTGTATAGTCTTCCTCTTTGCTTTTCAACCTCAAACTGTCACTTTGATATGCCAGGTTATATGTTACCTTTTGAAGAGGGATCTCGGATCTTGCCATCTTTTTCCTCTCCCTCCCACCCTCCCACCACGAGCTGAAAAGGGATTCTACTATGTCTTATTGTCAGTTCTCCATATGATTTGGTTCAGCATCTGCAACAGTAAGGAAAGGAGCACTAAGATTTGAGACAATAGGGATTTAAGTCTAAATTGGACATGGTACTGCACACTTGTAATTCCTATATTAGGGGAGGCTGAGGCAAGAGAATCACAAGTTTGTTGCCCAGCTCAGTAAGACCAACAAAATCATTTTCATTGTAATCAAAATGAAAAGTGCTGGCCCTTTCAGGGAGGACTGACGACTTTGAGAGGTCCCTGCAAGAGGCAAATTCAGTGTTTGAAGAGTCGCTGCATCTGGAACAAAAGGGAAACTGTGCTGCAGCTTTGGCTCTCTGTAACGAAGCTATCTGTAAGTAACTCTAACAGCTATCGCTATGGCAGTTTTAACTAACTTCACAGTAGATTTTAGTGTTGTCACTCAGACGGCTATAAAAAGTTTCATGTCTCTACAGTCTCATGTTCCCAAACTGAGGCCCTTTGGCTGTCTTTGTCCTTTAGATTTCTAAATGTGTCTGGCACTGTCACTTGGCCTTGTATGTATTTAATGGCATAATTTCACCAGGAATCCACAGATGAATTCTCCAGCCATGCCAGCCTTCTTATTCTAAGATAAAGTCAGACTTCAGATATGAGCTTAGTTTACTCATTCTTTAGTTGCTGACTAGTGTGTGGGAGTTTATGGTAAGAAAACTGAATAAATTGGCTCTGACTTCCCAGGTCTGTGACTTTATGTCACAATATTCAATTCTTCTTGTTTTTTTCCCTTCCTGATATGTAGCATCATAATAATACAGCAAGGGACTAAGGCTTAGAATTGATATCTGACTCTTAAATGTGACCCACAAGAAGCTGTGCTCTGTAAGACAGATGCGGGTTTGGATCTTATTTCTACTGTTGGCCATCAGGAAGGGGGAGTTGAGAGAGCAGAGTGTGGAGACCAGAGCTGAACAGGTCAGTTGGAAAGGATGACATGAGTGGCAACCTCTAAGTACTAGTATATCTTCCTGGTTTGTTTTAATTTTTATTTATTTATTTATTTTTAATTTAAATTAACTTGTTTGGCCTCCATGGCTTCCATGAATGTTCCTTATAGCCAGAGCTAGCCCCATGCCCTGGACAGCATATGCATGGTCCATGACTTGCATTCCTGCTGCATATTTTGAGTTTCATTGCATACCTTTGCTTGTTTTGGTTCAAATTTGTTTGTTTTGTTTTTGTTTTGTATTTTGTGTTTTGTTCCTGCTATATTTTCTTTTGCATTTTAGCTAAACTAAGACTTGCCCTGCATGGTGCCAGCTCTAGCACACACAGCAGAGCCCTAGTCGATAAGAAGTTGCAAATCAGTATTCGAAAAGCACGGAGCCTGCAGGATCGCATGCAGCAGCAGCAAACATCGCAGCAACCGTCGCAGCCCTCAGCCTGCCTCCCATCACAAGGGGGGGCCCTCCCTCAGCCAACAAGGTAGTGCTTGGGAACCATGTTAGCTTATGGACGCCAGGGGCGGAAGTGACCGTGTGTGCTCCATGGGTAGCAAGCACTTTCATTGCCATCGTGAGTACAGGGGAGATAGGAACATGTTGGAAAGATTTTCTTAGGTCAGACATACAATGAAAAAGTTTATTGCACTGTTGCTCTTTTTCTTAATAGTGCCAAGAAAGATGCAAAATGTATAGCATAACACTTGTCCAGATTTCATTGGGTGAAGTTATCTCTATAGTTGTACAACAATATGATTTTTTTTTTGTACTGGGAATCAAACTGATGACCTTGCATTTGCCCGGCAGGCACTTATTCCACTGAGCTAAATCCATGGCCCAACCATATGATTATTATAAGCCTACGTATTATGTTCTTCAGCATGGCAATACTGACTACATTTCATGCTGCAGTAGCAACAATGTGCTTTATTTTGGGATTTTAGTGCTTCCTTCCTTTCCTCATGGAAGCAGAGAAGGCAATCTTCCTTGCTCTAATTGTGTCATAGAGAAGAGACAAAAGATTTTCTTTGCTTCTGTAAGATCAGGACTTGGAAAAATCTAGCCATTGATATAGTTTTCCTACATTTTAGACCTTAAATTTGTCTTCTATTTAGAATAACTGAATCTAAGTATAAATTAATTTTGGCTGTTAAGATTGAGTAGGTTTGTTTTTTTTTTTTTTTTGTACAAAGGATTGAACTCATGACCTTGTGCTTACCAGGTAGGTACTTATGCCGCTGAGCCCTGCCAGGTTGAGTAGTTTTCAAAATATAAAAAATAAAAGCATAAAACCAGGTACCTTTTTTTTTTTTTCAGTGATGAGATTGAACCCAGAGACATGCATGTGCTACAGTTGAACTACATCTATGTCTTACAGTGAAAAGTTTTTGAACACTTGGCTTAGGACCATGCCTCCTGAGTTAAGCACCATATGTATATATGGTGCTTTTATACACACACACACACACACACACACACACACACACACATATATTTATGTATTTTAAATAACAGAATTGGACTCAAAGAAGATAAGTAAGGAACCTGAGATTTCTTACCTAAAAAGTAGTAAAAGTTTAGAATTTAAACCCAGTCTACTTAATGCCAAAGCACTTGATTTTGGTCATTAGGTAATACAGCCTTATAGGATTAGATTTCCCATATAAATATATTTTTCATAATGTTATCTTGTTACCTAGGTAACAAAGCCCACCAAGTTTATTGCATACAGGTTGACCGTCTCTTATTTAAAAGAACTTGGGACTACAAGTGTTTTAGATTTCATTTTTTTTCTTTTGGTCTTTTCGTTTTTATCAGTACCAGGGATCGAACTCACGACTGCCTGCTTGCAAGGCAGGTGCTTATGCTGCTGAGCTAAATCCCCAGCCTGATTTCATATTTTTTTAAATATTTGCATAGACTTTATTCTTTTGTTGTTGTCTGAGACGAGGTCTTATTGTATAGTTCAGGCTGGTCTTGAATTATGTACTGCAGGCTGTCTTTGAACTTAATGAGATCTGCCTGCCTCAGCCTCCCAAGTGCTAGAATTACATGCATGGGCAACCATGTTTTGCTGCTTATTACACTTTACTCTCATTATCCTAATCCAGAAAAATCTGAACTCTGAAATGCTCCAGAATCCAAAACTATTTTATCATCATTTCTGCACTCAAAAAGTTTTAGATTTTAGAGCATTTAAAATTGTGTATTTTCTTAGTAGGGAACTAAATATATTTTGAAAAGGAAATCCTAATTTTCAGATTAGATATGCATAGGTTGAGCAACCCTAATTTGAAAATCCAAAATTTGAAAGGGTGAAGTTTTTAGTGCTTCTGACAATATAGGTTTTTGATTAGAAAACAAATAAGAAACTAACTAAATGCAATTGACCCCTGTTCCCACTCCTAATTTCCCACTCTCAAAAGAGTCCTAGTGTTAATGAGACTTTCTTAAATTAATTTTAAGAAAACATCTCAGTATTACAGTGGAGCCAGATTATGAAAACATTTGAGATAGTCCATTTCTTTGTAATCCTGTGAATGAACATCATAGGATTATAGCCGCCTGATTCCTTTGACTGGGCTACCTCACAGGCCCTAGGTGGGACTTCCCTCCTTGTATAGCATTCTGGAATTTTGTTATTTAGTATGAATGAGTTTCAGGCTTTGCTTATCTTCCATGTCATCAGCATGTGTGACTACCAATATTTTTTATCTTTAATTTGCAAGTAAGTGTGATTGCAATGACACTTTACAGGTAGTAACTGTTGCTAAGGACTCCACACAGTATTATTATATGCGCTAAATAGATTTACTTGTTTATCTGGGTATGAATAAACCATGTATCTTTTCTTTTTTGACTTTTAAACTATTGACTCTACTTTTGATTGTCTTTCTAGTTACTGTCATCATTCCCTCTCCAGATAGGTAAAATGGGTTCTTTTTTGAAAGTGTTCTTATCAATCAAGGCAGCTTTTGACTGGCTCTCTCTCTTTCAGTGAACAGCCTATCCCGCCCCAAGTACTGTTAAGTCAAGACACTCAACTGGAACCCTGCACGGATACAGAGTTTGGGGCCAGTTCTTCTTACTTCCATTCACCTGCTTCCTGCCATGAGTCACACTCATCACTGTTCGCAGAGTCACCTGTCCCACCTGCCCCACAGCACAGTTCCCCCTGTAGATCTGCCTCGAAGCTTCTGACTTCAGTTGAGGTGGACAGCTTTGACTCCTCTGAATTCCACAGGCAGGGTTTGCCTAAAACACCAGGAAGGACTGAGAATTCTCAGTATGATTGTCTGCCATTGGATGCCCTACAGGGTAAGCTGCAAGGCCACAAGGATGACAACAGCTGCAGCAGGTTCCCTCCACAAGAAGGGAGGGTCATTGCTCAAGAACAATTGCAAGAAAAAAGGGACCCTGCGGACTTGGCCCTTATGATGGCTTGGTCACATCCAACAGGAAGAGCTATGTCTGAGAGAGGAGATCCACACTGTCTTGACTCTAGTTCTTCAAGTTCATCAGCTCAGCCTGGCTTTCCCCTGTATAGGGTTTGCTACCCCATGATGCCTGCTGCTTCTTCATCTGTGCTTCATTCTCCTGATCCTGTGGAGAAAACTAACCAATGCCTCCAAGCCCAAAGCCTTCAGAATTCATTGACTTCAAAAGTGGACAGAGGCAATGAGGAACTCTACAGGTCAGAATTTCCCAGCACGAAGGGACTTGTTTGCTCCCTGGCAGAACAGTTACAGAGGATGCAGGGTGTCTCCAGGAGGGATGCTGCAGGCTCCCAGGACAGAAGTTTGCCAAGTAGTATAAGGAAGAACTGTTTCCCTTCTGACTCTAAGCCTTCTTTCCCACAGGGTCAGGTGAAAGGCCACTGTCCTTGGGCAAAACAGCAACCATGCCTGGATGTTAAGGACAGATTGCCTTCCTGGGAAGAGCCTGCTGACTATGCTTCTCTTGCCATAGACTCTGGGTTGCCTAATGGTGTAACTCGTAGGGGAGGAGAGTCCATGTTGGCAGAACCAGGTATATACCCAGGAAAGCGGTCCCAAGTAAGAGATGGTAGGCCTGAGGAGCTAAGTAGCAGTTTTAACTTGGGGACTTCCTTGCCTTTGGATTCCTGGGTGAATGTCACAAGGCTCTGTGATTCTCAACTTAAACATGGGTTATCTGGGCCAGGAGTGAAGTCCTCTCCCCAAGATTCTCACACCTGCATAATTTATCCTGAGAGGAATCATATCCTTTTGCATCCACATTGGAACCAAGATACAGAGCAGGAGACCTCTGAATTAGAGTCTCTCTACCAGGCCAGTCTTCAGGCTTCTCAAGCTGTCTGTCCTGGATGGGGGCAGCGAGATGTGGCTTGGCATCCAATTAGCCAACCAGGTAAGGATGCAACCAGGGTTGAGAAGACTGGAGGACATATAAAACCTAAAAGCAGGAGGACAAGATAAAAGGAGGGGTGGTATGCTGTATATATAGCATTTCCAGCTTGGTAATGGGGAGTGGAACTTCTGACTATACTCACGTAGCTTTCAGGACAAGGGGTAGATATTTTACAGGTTAGAGTAGAGAATGGGGGCAGAATTTACACTTGCAGGTTGATTCCTTTTTTCTTAAGAAATTCTTGAGACCACTAAGTATTTGTCCATGTTTTCTCTAGTATGCAGTACTAAGGAATGGTTCATAAGTGTTTGAGGGGACTCAGCATGAGGAGACTAAGAGGAAAAGTCATCCTTCTATAATTTAGATGCTGAACTAATTTCAAGGTTTAGCTTACAGGTCTCTCTTGCAACAACAGTGCCACATTGAGTCAGGTCTCCAGTGTACCATTTTCAGATCATACTGAACCAGCAGTGTTAAGACCTTCCCTGTTCCCTTCAGGAAATGCCATGTTTAGTCTTCACAGAATTTTCAAGATAGTATGTTGATAGGGTAACAGTTACTCACTTTCTTTGAGATAGTACAGAGAGAGGGAGAACTGAAACCTATACCTGAAATGCACATCACAGATTTAATTCTGGAACCTGAGTATATGGAGAATGGTTGTAACTTAGACTGATGCACTTAACTCCACAGCTGTTTTCCTGATTCTGACATTATCTCTGAGGATAAATTTGGACAAGACACTTCGTATCCCAGGGTCAAGTTTTTTTCTCTATAATGAGAGAATTAGTTCAATATTTTAAAAAATCATTTGAACTTGAAAATGCTAAGTATGATTCTGTAAAACTGAACTCAGAGAATTTTAACTTGGGTGCAGCAGTTTTTGTAACAGTATAGGTCCCTTGCAAACTGATACCCTGTGTTTAACTACAGCCAAACAAGTGCTTAGAGTGTACACTATATCCTCAGGAGCTTTGCACGAGACTACAGATATAAAAAATATGATTTTAAAAAGATGTTATGATATTTTGCTTAATATTAAGATATGTTTTTGTGAATCTATATTTTAGCTTAAATTTTGTAGTAACATTTATTCAGTTAGGTACATAGGACAGGGCAATATGGGAAAATTATAGGGAAAGAAAACCAGTCTGCCTCAGTGAACTTTCTCTTTTAATATAAAGGAGAAAGAATTTGCAAATATTAAATGTTAAAAGAAATATAAACACAATACATTGGAAATGTATTGAATATTAAATAGTGTATCTTAAAAACAAAGAGACGCTGGCATGGTGGCATATGCCTGTAATCCTCACACTTGGGAAGCTGAGGCAGGAGGATCGCTGCAAGTTCAAGGCCAGCCTGGACTACATGAGGAGACCCTGTCTCAAAAATAAAAATAAGATAAAATAGAAACAAAGACAAAAAATCCCTTCTAATGTCCAAAATAACATTTTTCATTATAGGCAGGGTTTTTTTTTTTTTTCAATTTATTTTTGTTGTAGGTTTGTTTGTTTTGACACTGGGTTTCTCTATGTAGTTCAAATTGGGTTTGAACTCACTATGTAGCCCCAGCTGATCTCTAACTCATGGTGATCTCCTGCCACATCCTCCTTCCTGAGTGCTGGTGGTGGTGTTTAGTTTTGAGGTATGAGAGATTGAATTTAAGATTTTTCCACTGAGCTACATCCCTATCCCAGCCTTTTGAGACAGAGTATCAGTAAGTCTAACTAAATTGCCCAAACTGGGCTTGAACTTGTGATCCTTATGCCTCAGCTTCACATAGTACTATGATTATAAGTATGTGCCATCATGCCCAGCTGAACCCAGGACCCTTGCACTGAGGTATATCCCTAGCCTCATTCATTTATTCCTTCTTTCATTTGTTAGTATATCTAGTGGTATCTAGTGGTACTAGAGATTGAACCCTTTTTATTTTTAAAATTTGAAGCAATATTGCTAAATTGCTGGAGCTGTCCTTGAACTTACAATCATTCAGCTTTAACCAGAGTAGTTGGGATTACAGGAATGTGCCATCTGTCTCTGGCTTTAATTGGTTTTTAAAAAATTGTTAAGCCTACCTGTTTTTGTTATTTTTTTGCTGTGTTATGGATCAAACCCAGGGCCTTGCCTATGCTACACAAGCACTATACTACTGAGCTATACTCCCGACCCATCACAGTCAGATTGTTTGTGGGTTTTTGTATTTATTTACATACTTTTTTCACCCACGTTAAGCAAATACTCTACCACTGATGGAATCAGCATCCAAGCTGTTTTTAGCAGACTGTTTACTTTTCTATTTCTCTTTTCCTTCTAGTATCCCTTACCTTTTAACTTGGACTTCCCTAGGTAACAATGTAGTATGCATACAGTATACCTCGATAGTATACATACATCTGTATTTTTCTATTCATATAATCTTTTGTAGATCTGCACATAGAGTGTTTTTGCTTAGGGATCATATGACAGATACTTTCTTTTAATTCAGCAGTATTTCATGTGTATCATTTGAATCATGTAGTTTGACTAAATTCTTTTTTTTTCTGTTTGGTACTGGGAATTGAACTCAGGACTTAGCAATTCCTAAGGCAGATACTTATGCCAGTAAGCTATATTCCTGTCCCCTCAATTCCTATTTTTAGTGGTTGGATAATATTTGATATTGAGTATATCTTAATAGTTAGACATTCTTCTATACATAGGTATTACTTTATTTTTAGTTTTTCACTACTGCAAGTAATGCCAGAAGAAAACATTCTACAGAAATGTTACAAATTGGCATTTTTTTTCTTATTTCCAGGAGTAGAATTGTTGAACAAGAGAGTACTTTTATTTCTTCAATTTTAATAGAAATTTCTAGGTTGCTTTTTAGGAATATGATGGCATTTCTTTCAATAATATTCAAAGATATTTTTCCACTTTTTTTTTTTTTTAAATAAAGATTCATGTTAGTGTATGTCTATAACCCAACACTAGGAGACTGAGGCAGGAAAATTGCAAGTTTGAACCCAGCCTGGACAACTTAGTATTTAAAGAAAAGAAAGGAGGCTGTGGATGTAACTCAGAATAAAAGTCCTAGGTGCAATCCTCATTAAAAAATCCTAAATAAATAAATAAGAGAAAAGAAAAAGGTTTTTTTGGCTCCACAGAAATTCTAATTCAGGTCTATTGTAAAGGAATTTATACTTTTAAAGGTGCTAGGGATTGAACTTGGGGCCTTGTGCCTGCTGGGTAAGCACTCCGCCACTGTGCTATACCCTTAGCTCTAGGATGCTGTATTTTTTAAAGTTCCTAGATAAATTACAGGTGGTATGATAGCCATTGTATTTAAATTTCAGAAAATATTAAAAGTAACTGATTTTTAATATTTATATCAACATTATCATACATCAGATATTAGGATCAAAATGTTAAATCAACATACAAATTAGCCATGGACATAAATATCAAATGTAGGTCAAGGATGTTTACATTTTCAGAATGAAAGGCTTAACTAGTTGCATTGGGAACAGCTCCTTGTGAGTCCCATAATCCAGTTTAGAACAGCAGTAGTGGTTGTTTAAAATTTAAGTGATTGGGAGAAGCTAGGGCCATGGGGGATAAAAGAACTTTCGCATGTCATGTATTTTTGAAACACTCCTGCTCAAGGATACAAGGGCAGCAGGCTAGATGATAAAGACAACTGTACTACAATTTAGCAACTTGAAATTTAATCTTAGTTTAACTGCTAAGGCTCTAGAACTCATTTTCCTGTTGTTACATGAGGAGGCTTGATAAGTGATTACTATGATCTTTTCATTTTGAACTAGATTGGGAAGAATAGTTTTCTTCCACCACAGATGCTATAGAAAATCACTATGTTACAGAATTTCTTCACTGTAATATTACAAATCTTAGCCCCATCTCTGACAGAAGCTGATTATGTTTACAAAAAAGAAATGAGATTAGATGAGGGCATTCAGCTGCCTATTCACAGAGCTGTTTTTCTACTAAGTTCTTTAGGGCCTATGACTGTCACCCTTCTAATATACAGCAGTCTATTCACATTCTTGAAATTACTCCTTTCTGAGTTCCAAGAAAACATTCTTGTAGATTCAGGTATACATATTTGTTACTTATTGAAATAAGAACTCAAGAGTTTGTGCTTCTAGCCTTAGAGTTTAGGCCCCAGGAGAGTGATGGCTTCAACTTTTTTTTTCAAAGAAAATAATTTTCATTGGTGCATTTTTGGTATACGTAATGATCACATTCATCACAGGGCCTTTGTCTATATAGAGGATATACCTCGATCCTTTTTTTCCCATTCTTCTGCCCTCCATTTGACCCCCCCCCCTTACTTACAAAAGCTTTGTTTCCATTTTTTCCTTTGTCTTTTTTTTGGCTTTTTCCTTCCTTCCTCGTTCCAACTTACATTTGTATTTTCCTCCTCAGGATTGGCAGATGGCATGGGGAGGAGATTACACTCAGCCCCTAGTCTTGAACTTTCAAAGACCCCAACAACAGAAATGGAGCACATTCTCCGTGAAGTCAGCACAGTGCCTGTGTCACAGGTAGCAGCCTCAAGTGCAAAGGTACTAGACTTGGTGTGTTAGGGAAGAAAGTGTACAAAAAAATATGTGGTAGGGTTGGTGGTAGGGCAGAGACATGGTAATGGGGGCCTATCAGAAAAGAACAAGGATTGAAATAGAACTTCTTTTGAATGAGCGGAGATTGTCACATGGCTACTACCTTTTAAATATATGTAGTTCAGGTGTTTACTATGGGGTCTTACCTTATTTTCTTCTATATCCCTGAAGACAGGTCTGTGGGAAAACCACAGGTCTGATGTCACCCATCTGCCTATGTGTGTCTGTGTGTTTGAAGGCTGCAGCTTACCAAGACCTCAGCAGGGAATATGGGGAGGATGAACAGTACAGTGCAGAGAACTTTCGTCGCATCTCATGCAGTCTCAGTGGCACCATTATCTCAAAGGGGGAGGAGGCTCCAGTGTCTTCCCACAGTTTTGTAAGTAGCATTAGGGTGTATCTATTCAGAGCGTCCTCTCTGCTAGGTGAAAATACAGTGCAGGTGAAGGAATATGGAGAAACTGAAGGTTTCAACATGGGACATAATAGAATGTACATTAATTCAGCAAAAATGAAGACGTGGTCATTGTTTTATTTACGCATACTCAGTTGGATCCTGGAGAAATGTCTCTTTCTTAGAGCAGTTCTCAAAGAGTGTATTATAGGATTCTCTAGTGTGAGAAACATTATGGGAGCCTTGAGAGAAATCTTAGAAGCAAAAGCTCTTGAGAGAGAGAGTTAGCTATGGTATTCATTAAAGTAAGAAGGGAAGAAATAGAGCTGGGCATGATGATGCATACCTGTATCTCAACACTGTAAGAGGCTGAAGCAGGAAGATCATAAGCTCAAGTCCACCCTGGGCAACTTAATGAGGTCTTGTCTCAAAAATAAAGGGATAATATCTCCTGGTAAAGGTCCTTTGTTTAATCCCCAGTGTCTTTAAAAAAAAAATGCCTTAGTGATGCACACTTAATCCCAGCATGTAGGAGGCAAGGGCAGGAGAATTACTGTGAACTTACAGGTTATCTGTTCTTTTGAGAATTTTATACGTTTGCCCAAGATAAGTTGTTTTCATTATAATAGAGATTAGGATGTAAAGTACCAGTACACTGAAGCTTGTCTACTAAGATAGCTCAATGAAAATATAAAAACAGGTTTTGAGCTGAGCATAGAGCTCAGGGGCACAGTGCCTGCCTGTTAAGCATGAGGTCATGAGTTTGATTCCAAGAAAGAAAGAAAGAAGACATATTTATTTATTTTTATTATACCTAGGAACTCGTGTGCTTGTTAAGTGCTCTACCACTGAACTACAACCCCTTTAGAAATGGTGCATGTACAAAAATAAAAAGGTGGGCATGGTAACACACACCTATAGTACCAGCACTCTGGGTGGTTGAGGCAGGAGGATCACCAAGTTTAAGACCTGCCTGGGAAATTTAGCAGTTTAGTGAGAATCTGTTTCAAAATAAAAATACTAAGAAGGCTTGCAGATGTAGCTCAGTGCCAAGGCTCAGATTCAACCCCTAGTACCAGATAGACAGACAAAAAGGTGCAAAAGCATACACAGCGAAAACTATGGCTTCTGTATTACTATCTCTTCAGAACCAGTTTTCCTCTCAAGAGTCATTCCTTTTTCCATTTTATTTTCCTTAAGTTCCTAAATAATTTAACAGCCTGCCATTTTTTTTTGGACAGGTAGTCTTTTCTGCCCGGCATTTGTTCTCTCACACACAGAATGCATTTAATGTAAAATGTGATGTTCTTAAGAGAGTTGGTTTCCTTCTGACTTCTTTAGAATTCATTTATTCATTGATTCATTCTTTTAAATAAATGCTTATTGAGCTTATGTTTTTGGTATTGTGCCAAGTGCTGGGAATATGATGGTGAGTTAGATATAGTCCCTGCTTTTATGGAGCTTAGTCTATTATAGGGGACAGATAAACAGTTTTATAATTTGAAAAGGATTTGTTGTTATGGGGCCATAATAGAAGTGGTATCTATCCAATGCTTCAGGTATTGGGAAAGTCTTCCTAGAGGCTAGATATAAATATATATTCTTTCTTTCTTTCTTTTCCTTCCTTCTTTCTTTCTTTCTTTCTTTCTTTCTTTTTTTTTTTTTTTTTGTTCTTTCTTTCTTTCTGTCTGTCTGTCTATCTTGGAATCAAACTCATGACCTTATGCTTGCCAGGCAAAGGGACCCTTAAGCTAATATTAACTGACTTTGAAGACAGGATTATAGACTGGTGAGGGGAGATGGACAGTCTTGACAAGTGAGATGGAAAAGAATATAAATACCATTCAAATCATGGGCCACAGAGAGTCCTACATGTTACAATCAGGAGTTTGGGACTTAGAGAGAACAAACATATTGGAAAGCCAATTAGGAGATAAACATAAACGACACTTGATACCTGCCTACCTGGATGTAGGGGAGGAGAATCAAGGATGATATGCTAGTTTTTTTAGGTTGCTAATGGTACACTTGAAGGATGACACATATTCAATTTTGGATATATCATGCCCAAGCAGAGAAAGCTGGTGACCTTTGCATATGAGACACATGACTTAGAAATTGAGATTCACATAATTGAAAAAAAAAATTATATATAGAGAAAAAATACAAAGGTACATCCTTGAAGAATCCTAAAAAGGGACTGCATAAAAGAAACAGCTTCAAGAAAAAAGGAAGATATGTGTTATTCCCTTAATTCCTTTCTTCTTGAAATATTCTTCCCCTGATAGATGATATGAGCATGCATTAATAAAATACAGATTCTGCCTTTGATTAGCTTATAATCAATTAAAGGAAATTAAATATATTGGTATATAAAATGTTTCAGTTAATGTATTATTTACCAAATTCTTGCATTGTTTCAGGTGCTGTTCAAGGTACTAGGGATCCTGAAGTGAAAAGAAAGATGGTCTACTAGGACAAAAAGATGTTAAACAAGTGATTTAACATCAGACAGTTATAAGAGTGATTAAAGGGGAATAAAACAAGTCAAAGGTTAAGGAGTAAATAGGCATAGTGGGGGCCAGGATGTACCTCACTGGCACAGTGCTTGCCTAGCATGTGTGAAAACCTGGGTTCAACTACCACTCCTACCAAAAGAAAAAGTAACAATAGCTTTCCTGGGGCAATTTTTGATTAGACAGGGAGGGACATCAGCTCTAAGGAAGTAACATTTGATCAGACTTCAGTGATAGGCAGTTTTCAGCCATGAGAAAACATTCCTAGTAATAGGAACAATAAATGTTCAGGCCCTGAGGTAGGAGTGAGTTGATGTGTTTGATAAACATCAAAAGTGCACAAGATACAGGAATGGTTGGAGTTAAAAGTGTGAAGATCAGTAGTGCCCTATCACATAGTTCTAGATAATCCGGTAATAGATATGAGATAGGAAGATCAGATTGAAGTCTGTTGCTTTAGTGTCACTGAACTTAAATTTGAAATTCACAGTTAGAAACTGGAGTATTTAGCAAAATGGAATTGTGAATGGGAAATCAAAGTCCAGGGCAGTGCCACTGTTTGGATTTTCTTAGAATATGGCACTAGGAGGATGAGTTTGGAAGAACATCTATTTAATTTTGGGTGTATTAATGTTTCAGATGTTAACAGGCACTTTTTTTTTCACATGAGTCAATAACTAATAAGGTATAAGCACCCAACACAAGAGCAAACTTGACACGCAAAGGAAGAAGTGCTTCTTAAATGTAGCAATGGCAGGTTAGCAGATGGAATAGTTTTCAACTTTGCATTTTAGCAGGTATATTTTAGTGCCAAATACTTAAATACAGAATTTTTTTTTCATTTTCTCAGCATTGATTCATACTCTTTTCAACTTCTATTGCAATCTTCCTGATTCTACTGTTAACATTAAAAAGTTTGCTAAAGACCTACACGGTGGGTTTAAGAAGGTGAGGCAGATGATAAAAACTGGTGCAGGGAAGTGGATCTGAAATTTGAATTTTGTAGAAGGACTGACAAAGTAAATAGGGTCCCTTTCTAGAACAAGGCATGTTTGTACTTAGTTCCCTCCATCCCTCCCTCTGTGTTTACCTAACCACATCCTGCTGTGTGTTAATCCTCATTTTTGTGTTTTTTTGTCTTGTCTCATTATAAGGATTCACCCAACATAAGGAGAAAGCCTTTGGAAACCGAGAACCGTTGTTCCAGCTCCTCTTCCCTCCCTGTCATCCGTGATCCTTCTGTGTTTCTCCTTGATTCCCAACTCCACCTTCCCCAAACACAGTTCCTGTCCCCAGATGCCCTGATGCCCAGCATGGCAAGGGAGCCTTATAGACTCCAAGGTAAACTGCCCAAAGTATAATGTTGCATGTTACAGTGTGTTTCAAGGGGACTCTTAAGGGTCAAATTAGTAGGTTGGGTGGGTGGGTGGATGGGTCGGATGTCCCAAGTTGGAGTGGTGTAAGGGTATAAACTACTGTTTTAAGATTGAGCATTGATCTCTATGAATTGTAACTGAATCATCTCTTAGGCACCATGGTTTTTTAGATCAGAATCTAAATTGGCATCAGGCATGGTGGCACATGCCTATAATCCCAGCACTTGGGGAGGCTCGGGCAGGAGGACTGCTGTGAGTGTAAAACCAGCCTAGTCTGCATAGTGAGGTTTATTTTTTCTTTTTCTTTTTCTTTTTTTTTTGTCTTTTTGGATAGGGTCTTGCTATGCAATCCAGGGTTGCCTTGGGCTCACTTTGTAGTCCAGGCTGATCTCAAACTTGCAGTGATCCTCCTGCCTCAGCCTCCCAAGTATACATAGTTTAAGGCTAGTCTGAGTTGCATAGCAAGACCCTGTCTCAGAAAAACTTTTTTTTTTAAACACATAATTCTAAATTGGCATTCCTAGAATTTGGTACCTCATGAGAATGAACTATTTTAGTCACAATATAACCTTTTAAGTGACCAATACCCAGTGTTTGGGATGCCTCCAAAGCAGAAGTGTCATCTCTGTTAACTAGTTTCTCTCCTATTCATGGAGTCTCTTCTGAGTGGGGGAGGTGTGAAAGGATGAGGAGTGAAGGGGAGCTTGGAAAGACCCTGTCCTTGGATTACCCATGCCATGTGAACAAACCCAGATGATCCTGGGAAAAGTGGAGAGCATCATTCTGGCTTTCAGTGACCCTCTACAGTAAGGCATTTTTTTTCTCCTCCTTATGGCCTGAGGCTCTGGTTAAAGGCAGTATAGGAAAGGGAGGTACTACTGACACCCAATGGGAAGAGGTCTGAGCTGTTGCTAAATATCATACAATACACAGGGCAGTGTCTCCTCATTTCCAACCAAGAATTATTAGCCAGTGTTGTAGTCAGGGGTTTTGAGGAGAACAATCAGAATCAGGACACAGAATTTATAATTTTATGATAGTCACCCAGAGTTTAACACAAGAAAGTACAGAAAATCTGTCCACGATGCTAAAGACTCAGAATATTCATCCAAGGGCCTGGATCCCACAGCAATGGCCTGCATGAGTCCAGATGAAAACCTACAGCCCATAACAATGCCTCCGATGAGTCCAACTGGAGGGCTACAGCCCACAAGAAGGACTCACGCCAGTATGTTTTACGGATCTCCGCTGGGAAGGCTCAAAGATCAGCGATGGAAGCTGGAAAGTCTATGCCAGTAGGATGAAGGAGCTGTGCTGGTAGGTTGAGGGTTCTACACTGGAGCCAAGAAGTCACACTCATAATAAAGACCAGGGCTGTTCTGAAAAGCACCACAGCCATCCTCAGCGACACGGAGGTCCCAAGCTCCTCCAATGATAGAAACGCCAGCATGAGGAGTTTCTCCTGAAGATTAAATGGCATGTCTTCCCTTCTGGAGCCAGGAAGTGATGCTCATTGTAAGGACCAGTGCCCCCCCAAAGTGAACCATAGCCACTCTCACCAACAAGGTCCTGAGCTCCTCTGTTGACAATGGTCAAACTCTCACTGGGGAAGCTAGTCATGACAAGCTCCTCCAGAAGAACCAACGGCTCAAACAGCAACACCTAGCTTCTCTTTCTCCATGTCTGTATTTATGCTGGCAACTTTCCTCAGGTGGAACATCTACGCTTAGCACCATGCTGATTTAATTCAGCTGTTGTTAAGTTGACTATCAGTTTTTAATCCATAACAGCAATGATATCAATAGTGTCAATATTGAATAAATTCATAGAAAAGGCATTCTATATTGTATATTTAGGAAGAGTGGTATGAACAAAAGATTGAGCAGGAAAGTTAGCACAGGCAGCCTTACTAAAGGTACCGCCACGTTAAGAAAAGCTAAGTAGGGGCTGGGGATTTAGCTCAGTGGCATAAGCACCTGCCTTGCAAGCAGGCAGTTGTGAGTTCGATCCCTGGAAGGAAAAAGACCGAAAAAAAAAAAGAAAAGCTAAGTGAGACTAGAGTAGTTGCTCAAGAATTAGTTATTGCAACATTAGTATATCTGCTATTTTGGGGGCCGTGTGTGTGTTAACAGGAATTATAATGGAGCAAGGTAAGTATGACAACATTTAGGAGACTGTGTAATTTGTCTAAGTTGACAGTAAGAGACTTTCTTTTGATATAATTAAGAATTTTAAAAAATAAAATTAAAAGCAAAACTAGGTATTGTATGTATGCTTTTGCTGGAATAATGAATTGGGTAGAACAGTCAGGAATGATCTGTGGAAGGAGAATTATTTTATGAAGATACTCAGTCTCTGGGTTTCTTTTCTTTCCTCAGGAAGTTCGAGGAATGTCCAGCAGTTTCTGGCTATGTGTGACAGGAGTGAAACTTCCCAAGGGGTCAAGTACACAGGAAGGACTTTAACCTATCGGAGTCTCCCCCATCGTTCTAGAACTGATGCCTCCTTGGGACCCTGGTCAGAGCCCAACCAGCACATTAGGGCCAGACTCCCAAGTACCCCAGGATGCAAGCCTCAGCTAACCCACACTGCCACACTAGCAGAGAGATGCCAGAGCTTCCAGGTTCCTCATTCTCAATCCTGGGGAGATCTTTTCCATTCACCCCACCACTCTTCCATTGTTCACCCTGTGTCCCCACCATCCAGCAGTCTTCATTTACCCCCGAGGGCAGCTTGGAACGCAGCCTCTGTTCCAGTGTCACGAACATCTGGTCCTCGAAGAGTAGATATTCCCCCAGATGACGACTGGAGGCAAAGCAGTTATGCCCCCCAATCTGGAGTCAGGAGGACAGGAGAGAGAGGTTTCTGTTTGTTTTAGCACATGGCCCTGGAATAGAGCAGAACAAGGCTAGAGTCCTGCAGCACAGCAAATGGTAGGGCTCACCCCTTGCCTGTTTTTTTTTTTTTTTTTTCTTTCCTCTATAAAACTACTGTGGGAAAGTTGGTACCCTGCATCCCTATCATGGCTGTGAGAACTGTCAGTTTCTCCAAGAAATACCAGGAATGTCTTAAGAGACCTGCCTGTTTTGGAGGAAATATTTTAAATTCCAACTTAGATTTCCTTAGCAAAAGGAAGCAGATGACTATGTAGGACTTACATGAGCCACTTTAACATCGAATCTATCATATTACTCTGGAAACTAGCCCTTCCTTAGTGTCATAATGTCATCATTTTATTCTCAGATACAGTTCTGCCCCTGCCTCCACCTCATCGTCTGGTTCCTATTACATTCCTAAATTCTACTCTGTTTTGTCCATGTATTCCTTTCATTTGACTATCTTCTCCATCTCCCATCCTTGGAGGGTCCTGACCACACCATTCAGAGAAGCTCACCTGCTGAGGTATTATGTGTGGCCTGTCAATCTTTCACATGCCCCAAACCTGGCGTGCAGAGGTGCCAGCATATTCACCATTCTGAAAAGATGGAGTCAGGAACACTAACAAACCCCTTGTCCCCAGCAGCAGAGCCATTACTGCCACTTGCTCAGTCGCCATTGTAAACCCTCAGTTCAGCTGATCCCTTTTAGAGCCAAACATACTGTTTTTGTAAAGTATTTTTCATTAATAAATCTATGAGAGATATATTTAATGAAATTGTTGTGATTTTTCCCTTTTGTGTGCTCTTGCTCTTATGTATTATGGTGGGGAGCCCTGAAGATAGGTAGATAGAGTATGTGATAGATAATGTTGTGACTGAGTGAAAGTGAGGAGAAATAGAGTCAAAGGATATACACTCAACATAGGAGTCAGTGAGCCCTTACAGAGTGCCTTTCTTTGTTGTACTGTTGGTGGCATGTTTCCTATCCCTGTCCTGCCCTTGTAACCCAGCATATTACTTACATGCTCCCTCCATTCCTGAGGGAGATTTTCTGTGTATTCAAAGTCCTATTACAAATGCACTGCTAGTCTAGGTACTCTTCGTATCTTCCTCTGCCTTACATGTTTGTGATACGCCTTCTGTTCTTCTGTCCTCTCCTCCCGTGGCCTCCTTCCCATGGAGAGTTATGGCACTTTCACACCAGAAAGATCCATTTTCACCCCTACTTTACTCCCGAATCTCTTCTCTAAAAGATATTTTGTGGGCTTACTTTGCAAAAAATAGCCATTGATTTTTCCTTCCTCTTTTATTTATTTTTTTAATCCTAAGTCTAAGGATTATTGAGATTGACACAAAGAAATAGGATGCTGAGACCTTCATTCTATTGCTTACCTAATTATCACTAATCATATTGAACAGAGTGGGAGTACATGTTTTATTGAGTAGGAGGAAATGCAGGAGTTTCACACTCCATCCCACTTGGATCCTATGCCATCGAACTGTCAAACCTGATAGCTGGTTCCTGTCCTTGATTTAAGCACACACGTCTAATAATTATTGATGGAGTAATTTGGTTCTTTTTCCTATTATTCCATTCCCCCCCAATGTCAGTCACCTTGGTATCTACAAAATTTCTGTGTATGTGCAGGAACATAAAACTAATTTACAATTCCCTTTTTGGTTTTCTGCCTGTTTTCTTAGTGAAACAAAAGGGAAGCTATGTCCTCAGAATTCTGTGAAGTATCTGTTGGTGGCATTCCCTCATTTCTCTGTACCAATTTTGATTCTTAACCCTTGGACCATAGATTCTTACTCTGTGCCTTCAAACTCTTGACAATGCCAGGCTCTAAACACGGGGGCCTGAATACTATTTCAAACTCTTGAACGATCCTGTGTCTGCTGTAGAACCTACAATGCCTCCTCTATTCCTCTGTACCGTCAACTCTAGTAGTCAAACTCGATAGTTGTTATACATTTGTTTATTTGTAGGAAGTTCTAAGGTTGGATCAGGTCTCTCTATGTTACAAGGAGCCTGTGGACTTCCTTGCACTCATTTACTACACTTTTAGCTAGCTAGCTACCAATCGGCCCCTCTGCTCACCGTTTCTGCATGCAAAGAATTTCAACTTGATCCCTTGGCTTCGCGTTGGTTCTCTCCTACCCTCAGTAATTTTGCCCAAGTCCCTAGAGTCTGTCCCGCCTCCGCCCCCGCGCGCGCGCGGTGCATGCCGGTCTTAGCCCCTCTGAAGGGAAAGGGTCCGCCATGTTCCCCGGCGGCGCTGCCGCTTGGCTCTGGTAGCCGCCGCCCCCGCCCCCAACCCCGCCCGGCCCAGCGCCTAGCCGAGCCCCGGGCCCAGCATGGCCGCCCCGGAGCCGGCCCGGGCTGCACCGCCCCCGCCCCCACCCCCACCGCCCCCTCCTGGGGCTGACCGCGTCGTCAAAGGTGAGAGGTGGCCGAAGCCCTGGGGGCCTGGCGTGAGGAGCTGTGTTGAGGGCGGGCGGGAGCCCGTCCCCTCGGGTGCGGGCCCGACTGGGCGAGCGAGTGACTGGCTGCCTCCCTTGGGGAGTGGCCCCTGGGCGGTCCCCTGTTGGGCTGGGCCGAGTCGGTGGCTCCGCGGTCCACGGTTTGCGCCGGGGCTGGGGTTTGCTCTCGGGGTTTCCTAGCCCGGGGTTGGATGCGACTGCTCGCCGCAGTGAGCCCCTTTCTCTTTCTCCGCGGCCTGTCAAAACAGCGCCGGGGCCACGTTTAGCTGCCTTTCCCGCGACAGCTGTGCTCCTGGCTGGCCGGGGCTGACCGAGGGATTCGGAGACCTTCAGCCACGCGGGGCCGGGCGAGGACTAGTGAGAAATCACCTCGGCTCTGGCCCACGCCCGCTCCCCGGTGACAGCAGTCTGCCCCTTCCGCGCCTGCCCAGCACCAGCCGCAGGGGTTCGTGCTCGGCCCTCGGGTGCCAGCCGGCGTAGAAACAGGGGCGCCATATGGGATTGGACAAAGGGTCGAGGCAGAATTTGGGGACGGAGGCTATGCGTGCAGAGTAAGAGAAAGCATAATGGGGAAAAAGCAAAGGCTCGGGAATAGGAAGAAATGGTAGAAAACCAGCGACGCGTTTGTCAGAGGTTACTTTTCCCATATAAACACACTCCCACACACTGTCGAGAAGTTCAATGTTTCTGAGCGAGGGCGGAATGTATGGATGTGCATCCACAGCACGTGAGCAGATTTATCTAAAATTTATCTAAAATTAAGGGCTAATTAAGAGTTGTATGGTATTCTGAGTTCCTTGCGAGAACTTGATTAAAAACAATTTGAAAATTTTACCATATATCTTAGTAAGTTAAAATCGTTGTAGGATTTTTAAACTACTTCTACGTTTTCTTTAACAAAGATCCTCGTTTTGTTATTATTCTTTATTCAGCTTCACAAATGTACTGGCGCAATATGTGAGCACTTAGTCCACTTTTAAAATGTGACCCAGTGATTCCATTATATTTAAAAACAAAACAACCAAAAAACCCCCCAACAAAACAGCCTCTTTCCTTAGTGTGTTTTTCTAGTTAAAATTTTCAATCTGAGTCTCAAAAAACAGACACTGATTTGTATGCAGGCTTATGTGGATTTTAAGAGCTATTGTATCCGTTGAGTCAAGTATTGGAATGAGCTGAATAAAGTGTTATGGACAACTTGTTCTGAGAAATCTTTAAAAAGAAAAGAAAAAAGTTCAGGCATTCATCCTGTCAAGAAATCTTGCAGTTTTATGGATGTGGAGACATTGGCTGCCTCATTATTTTATACTTGTATTGTGAATACATTTCCATGGGCACTTTTCATCAAGCTATTAGGTAACCAGTTACATTCTTGAACAATGAATTTATGCTATCCTTGTGCTTACGAATCTTATTGTTACTTGTCATATATGTGGTAATTTTTTTCCTGCATTATTTTAATGCAGTAAAAATGAGATTCAAAGCATAAGGCAGATTCCTTAAGGATAAGATGTGAGTCTAGTAAGTCATGTTTATAGCTTATTGGTATGAAATAAAAGCCATTTGATTTAGGTAAATAGCAAAGGAGCTTGTTGGCATAGAAAAATATAACTAAAATATGCTTATCAATCAATGTTTAATTTATCAGTATTTTTTTTTTTGTACCGGGAATCGAACTCACAGCCTAGCACTTGCCAGGCAGGCACTGTGCACTGAGCTGTGTCCTCAGCCCTTATCAGTAAAATATATAATTAAACTGTTGTATCCTCTTCACATTGACAGCTTTCATTTCATTATGGAATTTATTAGCCAGTTAGAATTTCTGATAGGGAGCACGTGTGTAGAAACGGTGTATAACAGATTAGTTTGCACTAGAGTCTTGTCTCTAGCTTGTTGTATAGTTACTTGGAAGTCTTGTCTTTGCTACAGTCCCAAAATTCCAATTTTAAATTTCATTTCCAGGCCTCTTTTTCGCCTTTTACATTCAGTTTTGTACTATTTGGTGATTCTGAAAATTAATGACCACTGCACTTTTTCAGTTTAAGCTGAACTTGTTAAAAAATGTAAATTTGTAAAGTTCAGGGTGTACTATTTTATACCATTTCATAGTAATACAATGAAAGCAATCATTGGTATTAAATACAAGTAGTCTTTTACTCCCTGAAACTTTTTTTTATTGTATCTAAACTTTATATTCTATATCCTATTGAGAAGTCCTGTATTTTATGGTTACAGTATTGTTTTGGTTTTCCTTATTGTGTTTTTTACTTATTTCTTTTGGCAGTGTTGGGCATCAAACTCAGGGCCTCAGGCACACTTGACAGGCACTCTACAACTGAGCTATACCTGGGCCCCTTGTTTTTTTTTTTGTTTTTTTTTTTGTTTTTTAATTGATACTGGGGATCCCAGCCCGATCCCTTGTTTTTTAAATAGTGCTTTTTACTACCAGTGTGCAGTCCAGATTGGCCTTGAATTTACAATCAGCTTGCCTTAGCCTCCTCAGGTCTGGAATTTACAGGCATTCACCACAATCTCCACCTTGTTGGATAAGATTTAATTTTATTTATTTATTTTACTTTTTAGACAAAGAGCTTTGCTTTGTAGTTCAGGTTGGCCTTGTACTGACTGTGCAGTCCACACAGGCTAACTCATGGTAATCTTCCTGCCTCAGTCTCCCCATTGCTGGAATTATAGCTGTACACCATCACATCCAGCTTTAAAGAGATGCAGATCTTTCAAAGTTTAGTATTAAATGCCTAAAATTTACTTCTTGTGACGTTTGAATGATTTAAATACTGTCATTGATTCATGTATAAATGTGATAAGCTTGTGACTAACATTGTTAGTAACAATTACATGTCACTGATTATGTGTGATTAGGTTTCCTGGTTAAATTTGGTTCTGAGCCTAGTTTAGTTGCTGGCTCAGATCAAATTCTTTCTGTTTTGAAATTGATAATCAACTTCAAAAGCAAAGAGAAAAACGGGGATGGAAGAATGAAGAAAATGAAGGGAAAAAACATTATTTATATATGATAGTTAAGATAGTTATACTACTAATTTCTCTTAGTTCATTGAAAAGAAAGGTTTGTGCTAATATTGTTTGGACAATTAAATGCCTGTATCTTGTACTCTTAGTGACTAATTTACAGATAACAATATGTAATGTATTAAACATTGTTACTCTCCTATTATCTTGTTTTGAAATTTTTTCTCTTTAAAATTAAAAAAATTTAAAAAATGAAATTGACCATAGCACAAATGAATTGGGTGAAATAATCTAAGCCCATTTAATTATATTCTGTTAAGCATTTTTGTTCTTTAGTTAAGTTGCAAATAAGAAATAGAAATAAACTAGGAGAAAACATATAGCTGTATAAACATGCTTGCTTTACTTCCCATCAGCAAAACTGGTTGGTAACTAAAACCCAAAATGAATTTCAATGTATTTTCTCCTCTCCCCAAAATTTACTTGACATGAATTGTTCAAATACTTACATATTTTCCACGATACTATAAAAATGTACATTTTCCATCTACTGTAGGTCCCAGATTTGTAAAGCTATGTTGTCCTTGAAATTACCAATTCTGTTAGTCACAATACAAAAATTCACCTTTATCATTTAGAGAGCATTGTCTAAATTGTGTATATGTTCATTTAGTAACTCCAATGTGACAATTTTATTTTACGTTCAACATTTTCTCTTTATGGCTAGAGTTCTTTGTTTGTTTTAGCTATAAATTACCACACTTTCAGATTGGACCAAATTTGTGAAGTGTTTATGTTTTGTTTTAGGCTGAATGTATTTCTAAATGGGCAGCATTAAGATTTTTTAGGTTCTGTTTTCAGCTGTCTTCTGAGGCCATTTGGCCACACTTGTCAGTATCTTAGTTTTATTGGGACTGATTAATTTTCTTGTCTTCTGAGGCCATTTGGCCACACTTGTCAGTATCTTAGTTTTATTGGGACTGATTAATTTTCTTACGTATTTTCAGATGACCCAAAAGCTTCTTCAGTGTTTACTAGTTGTATTTCATATTTCAGAACAGTTTGAACTGTAAGTTTCGTGCATAAAATATATTCTGTAGATTTACCTGTGTAAAAAGATAACTCTTGCCCGGCGTGGTGGCTCATGCCTGTAATCCCAGCACTCACTTGGGAGGCTGAGGTAGGAGGATCTTTGCAAGTTTGAGACCAGCCTGGGCTACAGAGTGAGCTCAAGGCCAGCCTGAGCTGCACAGCGAGACCCCGTCTCAAAAAAGACAAAAAAAAAAGATAACTCTTAAAAATGATTTTTGTTTTTCTTTCCACCCTCATCAAACTTTTAAACATACTAAAATAAATCTTCAGTGCCTTGTGTCCAAGAGAAAGCAAAGGAACAGAAAATATAATGTATGTGTGTATGAGAGAGAGAGAACACTATGGTAACAAATTATCTTAGAAGGAAAATGCCAAATAGGAAATACAGATGCTCATTAGAACAGTAGAAAGGCAAAAGCTTCAAGTTCCAGAGCTATTAAATGAATTGCCAAGAATTGTAAGGAAAAGTTTGATGAAAACAACCTGGATTTATTAAATGAAGTATTTTTTAGAGTCAATCATACGACTTCATTGCACCATACAAAGAGATGAAATAAGGTGATGTTAATTGAACATCCTTATATGGTATATAAAATTCTGAATCAAAGAACTCAAATAGCAACTGTTTATTAATTTCTGCTGTATGCTTTAAAATGGTGGTGAGCCAGCCAAAGTAAGAAAAGATGAAAAGCAGCCCTGATCCATCGGGAAGTAAATACTTGTAAAAAAGTTTCTTAATTTCATATGGACAAGCATGATTAATACTTGCCAGTAGAGTGGCATAGTGAGCAAGTGTTCTGAGTTTGAAGGGAGATAGTAATGACTAGAGTGGAATGATCTAGGAAGGGTTTTATATAGGAGGAAAGAAGCCTTTAAGGATAGGTAGAGTTGAAATATGCAGAAGATGGTAACATTTACTTGTTTAACAGGCATTGTGCTTGGGATTGAAGATGCACAATTTTAAAAGATGTTAAATAAGATAGATTTTTTTGGAGTGCTGGCAATCTAGTGGGGGGAGACATTATAAATAAATAATATGAGGAGTTGGAAACAAGTCCTACTAGAATGATAATCAGAAGAAATTGACTATTGCCGGATGTGGTGGCTCACACTTGTTATCCCAGCACTCAGGAGGCTGAAGCAGGAGGATCGTTGCGAGTTCGAGACTAGGCTAGGCTACAAAATGAGCTCAAGGCCAGCCTGAACTGCACAGTGAGACCCTGTCTCAAAAAGACAAAAAAAAAAAAAAAAAAAAAGAGGAAGAAGAAATTGACTATCTTAATTTGGAAAAAAAAAAGCATCACTAAAAGGGTAATCTTTTGAGGTAGTTGAAGAATAAGTCTGATTTCTCTAGACAAC